CTGGTTCCCTGACTCCACTCAAGATGAAATGGATCAATTTATAGATGCCGGAAATTGTAAGGTAAGGGAACCAGTCTAGCTGGCTTGCACCCGTTCATGAACATGTAACCAATAGCAAACAAAATTTGGACTGAAAAAATTGTAAATTTGGAGCAGTAGTTGAAAAATAGTTAGGATTTTCCAACGGTGGTCGGCTGACCACCGTTGGAAATTTATACAAAATACCACTTTTCTTGAAAATGACTTCACACCAGGTGCCATAATTTTACAGGATGCTTTAGACTGTCATTTATGAACATCCTAGTAAGGCATTTTGTAAAAATGTGTTAGTTTTGTTTTTCGATGTTTGCAAATGTTGTATATTCCCTTTAACTCAAAATTTGAGCCCATTCCCCTGAGGTTTGACATGTACCTCACTTGACTGTAAGTGAATAATAGTCTCAAGCATCCTGTGAAATCACGGCACCTGGAATGCTGTCATTTTCAAGAAAAGTGGAATTTTTGTATCGATTTCCAACGATGGTCGGCTAACCATCGTTTGAAAAAACTAACGTTTTTTAAAAACTGCCCCAACTTTAATTAGTCCACATTTTGTTTGCAATCGGTTACACATTCGTAAACGGGTGCAAGCCAGCTAGTCTGGTTTCCTGACCTGACAATTCCCAGACATATACATTACTCCGTTTCGCCTGAAGTAGGGTCAGGAAACCAGACTACAAGAACAGCATTTTTGCCTTGGTTTTTTTCAGCATCTATGAAACACAAACAGGTCAATGTAACAATATTTGCTATAATATTTACCCCTAAATCCATCCGTTTCTGAAAATTACAACAAAAGCAAATGTTGCACATTTGTAATGTATCTTTAGGCCTATAGGGCATATTACTTTAAAATTGAACATGTATTTACCGGTACATTTACATGTATACGTACACGTGTACATTGCAAGACAATTGAAGACACGGAACTTATCAGTGGAAAAAATACCTTCAGTTCATGTAAGCTAAAACATGAAAAATTGAAACCACACCGAGGAAAAATCAAGTCTTAAACTTTAAAACAATTTCTTGTACAATGTGTACATGTATGTACATGTACAATATGTACTTTGCCACAGTACTTGCAGAACAAAATACACGTACTGTACAATCAAACATACATCATGGGATCTTCCATCAAATATGGACTTCAGTCAACAACTTTGGGGAATTACACATCAGCAGAGAAGAGTTTGATAACACAACTTTGTATGACATGTACAATGTACCCGAACACCAATTTACGTTCACTGTACGTACATGTACCGGTACATGTACCATGTACATGTACGTGTACACAAATGCACAGTACCATGGTGATACAAGTATAGTTTACGTCAGCAAATTGCACTATCAGTTGTGTCACCTGTGTTTATCTGGTGAGGCCCAATTTTGCCGCTGAGCACGTTCTCAGAAGTCAAATGTTGCCAATACATACACAAAATTGTACTGTTGCATCATGTCACATGATGCAACAGTAGAAATCATTTTGTAAACTGGCAACCAGGCAAGTCTGCTGTAATCACAATTTTCCCTGCTTATTACGCACAATGAAAATAACCCCTGAAGGTGAACAATGGCTGTTATTTTCCCCCTTGATTCCATAATAATGCAATAAGTAAATCTGCATAAAAATAAACACAATTTTGTGACATGTTCTACAGGTTGCTTGACCTTCCACAATTAAAAACAGTTGCATGATAAGGCCTATGTTTATGGTTACCCCCCCCCCCAACCTGGACAATAAAGCAGTAACCTAAATCCCTTCAATAAAATAAAATTGAAACTTAGGCCAAAAAAAATAATAAGTTGGTCTCTGGTCAGTGCGCGCGTCAATTTGAATCATGCGCGTCAATCTTTTTTTTTTCAAAAATGTTCCGCGGTAGCTCCAACAGCGCCCTCTATTGCCGCACCTCCTCAATTTTTTTTTACCAAAGAGCACCAAGGAATGGGAAATTGCACCAAGGCAAATGATCGAGAGCACCAAAGCAAATTATGGAGGACACCAATGTACATGAGGACACCAAAAAAGCAAAATAGTAACCCACCTTGTCTGTACAATCCAAGCTTGAAAAAAAAGAAAAAAAAGCCTGCGTCGCCGCGTCAATTCCGGAACTTTGGTCTGACCAGAGACCGAATATTTTTTTTTTTTTCCTTAATAATGGTGCCACCCCACCCTGGTTACTGCAGACATCGTCACTGCATTTTTGAAAATTCTTATTTCATTTTTTTGTAAATTGGTCGGCAGTTCGGTCTTGTTGCACCGTGCAGCAAAGCAAACAGCACAGCACATGCAGAATGACGTAAATTCACATGTTAACTGCTACGAATGCATGCTTACAAATAATAAAAGGCCTATTTTTTTGGGCTTAAATTTACAGCCCCCCCCCCCCCCCCCAAATAAAGAGACGATTTTATCCACACACCCTGTTTTTTTCTTAAAATCTGTCTTTTGACTTCCCAAAAATGCAAACCATTGGAAATAATTGAACCAGACAAAAATAAATTGTTTTACAATGTAACCCATGTTACATGTAAAACAAAGTACATGTACATGTTTAAGTATACATTCAGCGTTAACACGATCATGATACTGTAATCAGGGGTGTGAGTGACCACTTATACAAATAGCTGAAAATAGCTGAAAAAAGTGTAAAGAAGCTGAACTTTGGAAATCTCCTATACTTTTGTACACAGCAAGTGAGGGAAAAAGATGAAAAAAGCTGGGAAAAAGATGAAAAAAGCTGAAAAAAGGCTGAAATCCGAAACAAAAAAAAGCTGACATCAGCTTTAAAGCTGAGATTTCACACCCCTGCGTAATGCACACGTAGACTGCAATATACCGTACACGCATGTATGACTTGTGATACATACACATGTTGTACACTGTATACATGTACCGGTACGGTATGCAACTAAATTGTGTTTTTCTGCAACTGAATTGTATTTTTCTAAAAATCTGGCGGGAGCCACTTTCTTCGGTGGCGCAAGGCTCGCGGAGTCACGCTTAGGTAGGACACACGCACTCCGGGCTCCTTCGATTGATAAGAATACCAAAATGCGTGTGCGCCTCATATTTAAGAACGCGCGCAGCATGCGCATGAGCGTCACACCACAGCAGTAAAAGCTTCTCATTCTGGTCGCCGGATTCCACTATAGATGCCTACTAAAATAATAACTGTGCTAAATAAATGTGAAAACAAATTCTCAAATCTAAAAATCTTCTGCTTATGCTGCCCATTGGCTACTGTATTGTAGCAGATTGTATTTTCCAGACTTAACTCTCAACTTCTGAATTTCACACTTACATGTAGTTATAAAATAAACATGAATGCGCACTGTACTGTAAAATTCAGGTATCTATTCTAGGCAGAGTAAAAGACTACGTACGTGTACGCATGTAACATCCCACCCCCATTGGTGTTACATCACACTGGCATTGTTAGTTAAATAGCTGGAAAATTCCTGAAGTCATAGCTCACCAAGTATTGCTGAGATGGCTTTGTGTGTATTGGCATTTAGTGATTTACTATCCTATAGTAATTTAACTATAGTAATAGTATTTAACGTGAAGTTTCACTTTTACTGCCAAAGAGTTTCAGAGTAGTCTACATACTGCACTTAGTTTGTGATGTCCACATCTTATTTCAACCTACATGTACTACATGTACCGGTAAATGTGAACAAATGCTTCAGTGTGTGGGTCATTAATTACATGAATGTATGTGGGACATTTTGTATGTGTATGGTTTCTCATTTTTTGTAACGTCACTGTCCACTGATAAACTTTTACACAGGTTCTGGTTTTGCTTGAGTTGGTAAAATTCACTCAAGAATATCACAACAACTTTTGACCTTAAGTTTACTTTTGATAAACTTTTATTTGTTAAACTTTTACAAGTTTATTAAATCAAATTTGCAAACACAACTGAACATGTGTGTTTGATGAGGATATCGCATCAAATGTGGGTCTAAAATCATGATTTTGACATCAAACTTGGACTATTTTATTTGATATAAGGTAGGTTTTGTAGGAACTCTGGAATTAAAACAATTATTCAAAAATGAGACAATTTCACTTGAATAGAGATTTGATGAAACGCTTATTTTTCCTGGATTCCAGGCGGCTAGATTTCAAGGACTCCTGAAGTTTAAGAATACACTGAAACAACAACCCAAAATTGTACAAAAGCGTGCATATCAATGTCAGGAAATCTTGAACACGCGTGTTCACGATGAACCCATACCCATTTTATTCCACTGCTACCAGAGAATACAGTAGAATGAAATGGGTATGGATCAATTACAGAATGTTAACTGTAGATTCAGACTAGACTGGGACCTTTTTCTTTAGGTAAAGACAAGGGGGAAAAGTGTTGCAACCTGACGCCACTTCAGCGGTTGTGTACAAACTACAAGTCTATGGAGAGTCAAGATTTTTTTTGGAGTATTTCCTAACAAAATTGGAAATGTTTCCAAGTCCCAGATTCATGTCTTATCATCATTTTTGCAATGGCTGACCTTCAAGTTCATTGAGATGATAATCTGAAGAAAAAAGAGACATCATCAGGTTGCAACATTTTTTTTCCAGATAAGGTTATACTTTTTTCAAAGGTAGGCCTATAAAATTGAATTGAAAATGTTTCTCACTGTTATTTTTAGTCCCAAATTCAGGGATATTTTTGCAATATTACTGACCCCCATAAATGTGGAAATTATGTGTAAAAATTGGCATCAGGTTACTGCATTCTTTCCATGACTGTATGACTATGAGTATGACAATTTGGTAAAATGCCTACGGCCTACAGGCGAAGTCTAACACTATCCTACAGAATTTGTCGAGTAGTCAACTATTGCGACGGCCACTGCGCCGTGGCGCCGCGGTGCGTCTGACCGGCCGGCGTGGGCCGCACATCCAGCACTAGTGCACACAAAATGTCTTCAGCAACGAGGCAACTCACCTTGTGGGATCCGTCCTGCAAGCTGTTTTCACTCCCTTTTTCGGGACATCTGACGTACGGATCAGTCAGGTCGGTGTCCTTTGAGTGTAACCCCAGTCACAATGTTCGCTTGCGTCAGCATTTGCAATGTTTCTGCTTGAATTTCGGTCCTAGTTCGTCGCGTCCGTCTATCCGTCTTGCGTGATTATGCGTGATTCGATTGTACTTTATGCTAGTACAGTATGCTTTTTTTACGTTCGTTCATCAAAGATCCTAAAGCGTGTGTGTAAGGGTGACCGTAAAGTCATGGCCAAACTCTGCTAAATGCACTTCAAAAATCTGCCAATTCCCCAGAATTACTCGAAATACACTATAAAAACACTTAAATCACATGCAGATGTTGTAGTATTGCTTTATTAAGGTTCAAATTACATTATTAACAATCTATAGTCACATAAAGATGTTATGAAATTGCGTAAATTTCAGGCAAAACGCGGTTGCGTCACGACGAAGTCCAATTCCCAGTAAACCTCAGCACCTAGACCAGCCAACCTGTCCCATTATGCAAGAGTTTGAAAAGATTGAAACTTTTTTTAAACAAATGTACATATGTACCACTTTTTTTCAAAAACACATACAGAATTCTGCCAGAAATCTGCCAAAAAATATATTGTCAAATTTCTGTCAAACTCGTTTTTTTTTTAACAAAAATAATGTCAAAGTTAGCTGAAAATCGGCTAAAACGGTCACCATAATGTGCATGCTCTGTATTCACGCATAATGCACGTACCGCAGGTCGCGTCCGTACATGTATGAAACGTAATAAATTGAGCTACGCATAATGTACATCAGTCTAGATACGGACTCACGTACTTCATATGAAAAACGTTCGTTGGCCTGGTGACGGTAACTCTTTGGCATTTACTCCTACGACGTTGGACTAGTAGACCAAAGAGTAGACCAAAGGACTAGACTGTGCGGTGAGGAGCCCACCGCACAGTCTCCAACATCGCGCGCTGGTATGGTGTTCGCTAATCGATTTACAAAATATTCTGAATGAATTGCAATCCATTGTGGGTAACTAGCTGACCGCAATGTAAAGGCATATATGCACCTTTTGTGCGCACGCGTGGACTTCCAAGTTACAATTAAACAATTATCCAATGAGAGATTAGCCAATGAGAGATTAGCCGTCAACATTATCCATGCACCGGATCGGAACGCCAACCTCGTCCCCTTGGCATTCAACAAGTACGCTAAATATCACATCACATACTGAATGAACTGTATTGGTGATTAGCATACAATTTAGTGAATATATTTTTTGGAAAGTGTTATTTCTTCCGAGTACTCAGTCATTTACAAGTGTATGGTGTGACATTTAAATGCAATAATGAAAAAAGGGATTTTGCAAGCTCACCTAACTTGTAACTGGCTAAGAATGAGTGGCCTGTACACTTTCCTGGGGCGACTAAACATAGTGGCCCAACTATAAGGGAGGGAGGTCCATCCCCCCCCCCACCATAATTTGCGGAAGGCAAACGCGATTTGTTTTTATGAACATATGCATCGAGTGTCACCTCCTGAAAACAAGACCCTTATTAGTGAACCCCCCCCCCCCTCGGTAATCGCACCCGTTACGACCCTGCTTGTATGCAATTTGTCTACTGTTTAAACAATGGCCAATATCAAAGTAAAAATGTGCTAAGCACACAAATGTTTTGCTCATTTTGGCATCTGAAATGGAAATATCCACTGATTGTGTGTTTTGCACTTGCTTTTGAAACCTCTTGCATAAAGTTGTTTGGCTTAGCAACCTCGGACAGCATAACTGCCACAACAGACTCGTGTTTGAAGACTAGTGTTCTAGTCAAGTCCATCACAAGTCCATCAGTAGTCATCCATTCCGAAGTCACAAGCATTTCAAATGAACAGTGACAAAGCAGTAGCGGATCTACGGGGGGGGGGGGGGGGGGGGGGGGGGGGGGGGGGGGGGGGGGGGGTTACGGGGTCTCAACCCCCACCCCTCCCAGGCCGCTTTCCTTTGTTACCGTTTATCTTCTGTCACTGGAGTTTTGAATTGACCGAGGATGGACTCCACCACAGCACTTCTAGAAAACCCCAACTAACTACAGTAATGTTACGTAAGAACAGAAACCTGGATTTCTTTCAAGGGCAACACATCACACAAAATGACACAATACCAAACAGTCTGCTGTCGGACAAAAACACAAGTACAGATATGAGTATTCCTCTTTATTTCAACAAAAATAATTGATATGAAGTCCGTGAAGTAGTCCAACCCATCACCAGTTTCATCACAAGCAAACGGGTGTGCGTGACCACTGATAGAAATAGCTGAGAAACAGCTGAAAAGGTGTAAAAAAACACCTGAATTTTGGAAATCTCCCATACTTTTGTACACAGCAGGTGAGGGAAAAAGCTAGGGCAAAAGCTGAAAAAAAAGCTGAAATCCAAAACAAATAAAAAGCTGAAATCAGCTTTAAAGCTGAGATTTCACACCACTGCAAATTACAAATCCATTGGCGTTCACAAGTCCACTCACAAGTAACAGTTGATGACCAATTACAAAGGAATGCTTTTGTCGCAATTCCTTTAAATACTCTTTGTGAGCTTGGAGGACTCGTGATGGACTTGTGAGGACTTGCAGGGACTTGTGATGGACTCTACGACAACACTGGACGAAGTGAGAGTCTTTCAAAAATGATAGCTTCGGACTGTAAAAAAAAAAACATCACCAGTATAACGTGTTCTGTGGAGACTCTTCACCGTGACAAAATGTTCCCTGTTCAACGAAAACAGCTAGAGACACAACACAGTATTTAGGCCATGGATGTCCTTAAAATGTATTGTCTACGCAATGGCTATATAAAAGCAAGCCAACAGCCAAAACCAAAGACTGAGCTGCAAAATATCTCATTCAGACAAGGTCTATCTTGAAGAAAAATTCCTCATGACTAATTTGAAGCGGGTGTCGGACGCTTCGCCCCATTTCCACGTCGCCCCATGTCACTTCGCCCCTAACCACTTCGCCCCATCCCCACTTCGCCCCATCCCCACATCGCCCCATCTCCGCTTCGCCCCATCCCCACTTCGCCCCATCCCCGCTTTGCCCCATCCCCACTTCGCCCCATCCCCACTTCGCCCCATGTAGTATAAAAAAGGGAAGGCTAGGGGTGCAGACCAAATAAACTGCCAAAGACCCCAGATAATAAATGCTCCCAATTCTAGAAACTCAGGAAAAATACAAACTCTCTGATGAGGTGCTCGAGACACAGATGAGAGAAATGATGGCTTAAATAAAATCATCAGCCGCTGGATTCAAAAGAATCCCGTAGGTATGGGTCAGTGAGTTCAAAGGAACTCACTGCCTTGAGGAAAATGTTCCGTCAAAATTTGTCTGATATGTGAGACTTACAACTTCATTGATGAGATTGGTTCCTCCAAGAGTGAAATTAGGATGTCAAAGGTATTGTCGTTCTCAGATAAGTGGGAGACGGGTTGGTATAGCCGGGTTGGGAACAAAGTTGGATCTTTTACTTCAAGCTTTTTTCTCGGTAGGGGAGAGCCTAGCTTGAGAGGTTGGTTATGAATTGTTCATTTGGTGATGGGCTAATTCTTTCCGTTGGTTAGCAATTAGTGAATCTATTGAAATAGTGTTTTTTTAAGCCAAAAAAATAGATGAGATTTTTTTTTTACATGTAACGGCTGGGGCGAAGTGGGGATGGGGCGAAGTGGGGATGGGGCGAAGTGGGGATGGGGCGATGTGGGGATGGGGCGAAGTGGGGATGGGGCGAAGTGGTTAGGGGCGAAGTGACATGGGGCGACGTGGAAATGGGGCGAAGTGTCCGACATTCTTTGAAGCTATACTGAAATTTCACCATTTTTTTTAGTAGAAAAAGGCCCACCCTGAGCATACATCTAATGATTATCCATCAGTGTGTAAACTATGCCATGCATAGGATTCACACATTTGATGCACAGCTACGCAGTAAACTTACCATCTATTTCACAAAACTTGGCATAGTAATGCAACGTTTTAAATAATTCAAAATTTTGGACGAGGATATAATAACAGCTTTTACCTTGTCTGTTTGTGTATGATTTCTGTTCGATCATGTAGTTGAATCGCCTCTGGCTGCCATTTTAGAAACAACTTTGTTTGACTTTCTTCGGAATTGTGTGGCAACTCTAAAAGTTTCCAAGGATAAAATAGCAATTCATTTACTTCAAAAACAAAGCTGTATCTTGTATAGATCTTGATAAGTTGGACAATAAGAGGCTCCACACAACAATCGAGATTAGTCAGCAAAACATTTCAATTTCAGCCGCAACACCACAACTTAATGCCACCTAAAATGACTGCATAAAGTTACACAATAATAAGTTGCGTAAGTCGTTGACTTGTGAACCTTTTGTGAAATGTGTCATAACTGAATGTTGCGCAACTTGTGCAAAAAATGTGGCGTAAGTGGAGTTATGCCATTGCACAAGCTTTCGTGAAATCAGCTGCTGGCCTCCTGTCGTGCCATATCAGCAAAAATTTCGTATGATAGTACCCTGTCCTTTAATGGAAAATTCTTCCAGTTATGTCATGCTACCAAACTCTTCCACAGATTGATCGAGTTAAACGAAGGCCGTTCCTCCTGACACTCTAATAAATCTATTCTCAAAAAAGATGAAATATGACACTGAAACAGAGCTGAAGTTCATTTACAAATCAAGAGACAAACTTTCAAAATACCTCGAATTAGTTTTCATAAACAGTGGTTTGGCTATCACATATCATTCATGAATACAGTCATGCTGAGAGAGATTGTGTTGTTGCAATTGTGAATTGAATAAAAAATAGGTCAGATTTTTCTTTTTTAAAGGGAAAATACAACATTTGCAAACATCAAAAAATAAAACTACCAAATCATTTTGAAATACCTTGCTGGACTGTTAGTGAATGACAGTGTAAAGCATCCTGTAAAATCATGGCACCTTGTATACTGTCATTTTCGAGAAAAGTGTTTTTTTGTATCAATTTCCAACGCTGGTCGGCCGACCAGTGTTGGAAAAAACTGGCTTTTTTTCAAATACTGGCCCCAATTGACCATCGCACTTGTTTGCAATCGGTTACACACCTATGAACGGGTACAAGCCAGCTAGACTGGTTTCCTGACCTTACAATTCCCCAATGTATGTAAACTGCTCTGTTTCTTCTTATATGGAGTCAGGGAACCAGACTACAGGAAAAGGATTGTTTTTCTTGGTTTTTATAGCATTTTCGAACCCAAAACCTCAAAAAAGTCAGTGTAACTATATTTGCTATATATTTCCAACCCCCCCAATTCCATCCATTTCTGAAAATTACAGCAAAAGCAAATGATGTATATTCCCTTTAAATCAGAAAATCTATTAATATTTATAGGGCTGCAAAAGACAGAATGTATTCAAGCAATGTCTTTATCGCAGCTCCTTTTCTAATGTACGACCTGAAGGAAAATTTTGCTTTCCCGGCACTGTTCAGGAATTACTCCGTATCATACAATTCCATTAGCAAAGTAAAAAAAGTGAAGAACTTTCTGTCCCTTTATCATGGACATGTCATAATAAACACTACTACCAGTCAACCTAAGTATTAACTTGCTTGAATATTTGACAAAACCATCCATTTAAAGATTTGAAAGAGAATATAAAATGCTACGAAGCAGTTTTTACTTGTGGTTCGTCTGATATGAAGCAACTGCTTCCCCGACTTAATAAGACTTGCCATGCATGCAGCTAACTTCAGACCACTACGGGTTCATTTTTAAGCAACCCTTCAATGGTTTTCTAGAGGAGATGGCGAAGACTCGGCTATCTTGGGTAGTAGCCTTGGTTGTAATTTCCCCAGGCTTGTTGGTACTGCTGGTATTGCTGCAAGAGAGAAACAGACATTACAACTTTTAAAAAAAACAAGAAGTAAACTTTTCTTGTACTGCCAGATTCCTCTTTAAAGTCACCCTTTTTAACCCTAACCTATTGGATAGGAACCATCCTCAATCCTGCAAAATCCTCCAATTGCTACCATACAGCCTCAATCCTCCAAAATCATCTGTTATTTCTTGAATTTATTCAGTGGAGGGGTGACCACCACCTCAATTCTTCAAAAATCCTCTGACTCACTTTTACACACGTTGGGGCAGTGTGGATGATGTTCAGAAGTAGTGCGGATGATATTCAGAAGTACCGGTAGTGCTAATGATATCTAGTATAATCTAGGCATGGCATAGTATAATCTATGCATGGCGAAGCATAACCAACACAAGGTATAGCTTAAAACCTTGGCACAATGCATCCTGCAAAATCAACTGGCACTAAAAAAAGCATACAGCCTCAATCCTCCCAAATCCCCCAAAACAGCCTAGTTGATTTTAGAGGATTGAGGAGGGAATTTTGAAACGAGATTTCCCCATTTCTCCACAAACCACTTCCTCAGTGGATCCTTTTGGCATTAAGTTCCTTATAAGTGTTGACTCTACATTCTTCAATCTTGAAAAATCATCCACAGCCTTCTGATGGATTCTGTAGAGTCTGGGGGAGTTAGGCTCAACAGTATAAACCCAAAGCATTATCCAACACAACGATCCCCTCAAGTTTTTTCTTTCATGAGACATTGTTAGACTGCTTACTTATGATGTTCAACAGCAATTTAAAAATGATTGTAAGACACTTAAATCAATATCCTATCCTGATGAAAACTTTTTATAATTTGAGGACATGTCAATTACAGAAATCTACACACTCTCATTTTAATGTGTTTTTTTGTATGCATATATTGTGATGACCGTCAAATATGGCGCACCAAAGCACAATAAGGTGCATAAGGATAAAACACATGATGCTGCACACTATCACATGGAAAACTGATGCATATTTTTCTATCTTTTGTTTCTTTCTGTCCCAAAACACTTTGTACATAATTTTTTCACAAAGACAGCTGTATTCATAGCAGCCTACGCAACAAATAATCTTATCAAAGAGAAAAAGGAACAATGGCTATACCTGATTGTAGCTGTTTGGCGGGGGCTGATTGTAACCCCCTGGGCCAGGGGGCACGGGTCCGTAGTTACCCCCCTGGGGGCCATACTGGGGCTGGTTGTACCCTCCCCACCCTGGGTTGGGCCCGGGCGGCTGGTTGTAGTCCTGAGCAGCAGCAGGGCCTGAAGGATTGCTGACTGGGTTGGACAGCAGGGGATGGGGCTTGGATGGGGTCGCAGCTGTGGTTGGTGTGGTAGGGGTGGGGGTCGTTGAGGCTTTGGAGTCTTCCGTCTTGGCTTTCTTGGCTGGTGTGGCGGCAGGCGTGCTCTCGCTGCACAAAAAAGAGGACAGGCAAATGAAACACACTATTGAATATGCTGTGAAAGAGACATGTCTACAGAGCATTCTTTAGGTTAAGTCAATTTTCTTATTGCTGAGTGAGTGTTGTTCACTTTTGATGGATGAAATTTGTATTCAATTCCATCGTTGACAAGCAGTCAAGATCTGTTACTTCACAGACTTGTATTCAAGTCAATGTACAACTCCTTCTTGACTGTGCAATGCATTTGTCACTTGACTAGACACAGGGGAATTTCAAAATGGCACTGAAACCGAGGGCCCCAGTGCTCTCTTTTGTTGACAGGATTTTCAAAATAGTCCCCAATTAAAGGTAGAGTACATCACTTGTCATTTGTGCATTTTTTCATTTGAAGCAACAAAAGAGTTCAACATCTAAAGGTGCTTAACAACTATGAAGTATTAGCTCAGTAAATGCTGTATATTCCCAAAAAAGAATATTCTAGGATCTCGATTTCAATTCAAAAGTTGCGGAGTCATGTTTTGAATTGCGCCTGAAATTAGCGTCTAGGACATGTTCTCATTCAGCTGATTGCAGCTATGCGATGTCACGCACTGAACCGATGAATCATAGCAACTGCGCGCACGTGTGCGTTGTGTCGACGCTTGCGCACATCCATTCACGGCTTCGCTGAATTAAAAACGACTTACTAATGGAAATTTCCCAAAATGCGTCTTTAAACGCATCTTCGGAAACAACCTTTTATTGTTTTGTTCAAAATGACAGCATGCCAGAAAGAATATCATAGTTTGGTGTTATTACCTTAAACCAAGTATGCTTCTCAACAATGATTTAGTCAGTTATTTTTGGATAGCTGCAAATGATAAACTCCACCTTCAATACAACAGCTTAGCTCTGATTTCAATGATAAATTTGAAAGTTGTCCACAAGATGACTTGTGACAATGACTTGTGGGGACTTGATTACTTGTCTATTAACTACACTCAAGCCAACATGATTGTATATAATCAAAACCGCTCTTGCAACTCGACATTGAAAGAGGCAATCATCAGAATGATGACAACAGCAAAAGCTGGATAAATTTGCCCGAGCTCGATAATAGGGATCAACAAAAAAAAGAGTTTGACGATAAGGAGTCAGGTTAACGTAGCGGTACTTTCCTTGCCTTCCACTACTGTGACCAGGCTCGATTACTGCCTGGATCAATATGTGGATTGGGTTTTCAGTCCCTATTTGACTCCGTGGGTTTTCCTCAGATAACTCTTCCGGGGTTTTCCTCCCCCACTGAAAACTGTATTTTTTTTCACATTGTCTTCTCTTTATACCGTGCCCCACGGGAGACCAGTAAAATAAAAAATCATTAAAGCTATAGTCCATCATTTGCTGCCATCCGAAAAGTAACTGGCGTAATTATTGTTGAAAAACAAACTTGGTTGAAAGATAGTAAGGGAACTAAACTCCCTGTGAAATTATTCTTTCTGGGAAGCCGTCATTTTGAAGTAATCAACGAAAGAAGGCATTTCCAACGGTGATTCTTAAGAAGCACCGTAGGAAAATTTAAATTAGTAGTTCGTTTTGTTATTCAGCGCAGCGCGCACAAGTATTGGAACGACGCACACGCGCGCGCGGTTGTTGTAATTCGTCGGATCAGTGCGCGACGTCGCGTATAGCTGCAATTCAAAACAATTCAAAACATGATTCAGTAACTTTTGATTTGAAATTGAGATCTTAGAATGCTGTTTTTCTCGGAATGTACAGCTGAAGCTTAGCTGAAACTTCATCAGGTTAGTTGCTCAGTATCCTTCATTAGATTTTGAACTCTTTTGTTGCTTCAAACGAACAAAATGCACAAATTACAAATGATGGACTGTAGCTTTAAATAAAATAAATATCAAGGAATGGGCATGAAACAGAGGGAAGTTTGAATACCCTTTGACAGAGGTCAAGTCAGACCCTCTCTTCCATCCTGCAAAGGCAACGCCCCTCTGCACTGGTTTGGCTGGTGTCGCAACTGCAGCGGCAGTGTTGGGCGATGCATGGGCACCGGGTAACTGGCACTGTGCACTATCACTCGCTCCACTGCAAAAACATAGAATTTTCACTGGTATGAAAATCCTATGCGTTTTTCATAACGCTTCGAACATACCGCTGCATTTCACCTTTTTGTACTGAAAGTGTTGCAGCTTTTTTTGTGTGAGCATGCGACAAATGTGTTTTGTGAGGGCATATTGTATTTCATGCTGGGAAAACATGCATGCATTGAAAGATTTTCAAAGCAATGAACAGAGCGATGGACCATGCATATGGCGGATAATTCTGCCCACATTGAACGCAACTGCTGGCAGACGCAAGGGTGGGAGCTGAAGCCATAACATTTCTCAGTAATCTGATAACTGACCTTGTCTCTGCGCTTCTCTTCTTGTTGGCTACCTGCAGGATTTCCAGCTGTTCTTTGAGGAGTACCTGATGAGACTCGTAAGCAGTCTGCAACCTACGGAGATAAAACCGGTTGTGTTTGATAACTTAGTTTCTTGCCCAGTTATATACTAAGTCGACCTGGTGTGTTTTGGTGGTCGTAACCAATAACCACTTTTATTGTCGGTCATTGTTTGAGATTTGAGGTGACTTCGGCTGTGCGAAGTCAAGCGCAAGCATTAAAACACTCAACCGGTGACCAACAACAAAACCACATACAGGGTGAGTCAGAATGATTTGGACCCAAGTTCACCTTTTTTGTGGCAAATAGAGTATATTGAGAAAAAAAACTGAGTGTTTCATATGAATGGTTATTACCTTGTCTTCCACATGAATTTATAATTTTTCAAATGAGTGACTGTGGTGAGGAGTAATGCCATTTTCATTTCAAGTGGCTCATTTTCCAGTCTGCACACGGAATTGGTTTTGCCCTTTTTTTAAATGTGTCAATAACTTCAAGTGAGTCAGTCACCATGACTAGGTTTTTATTTGTTATTACACTGCTTCACATCAGTAAGCGATTTCAAAAAAATTGTTGAACCATGGAACCGTGGTCAGAATTTGTTAAGGCGTGTTCTTTGCTAGCGCTTTTCTTCAAAACGGTACGATTGATATACATGAAACTTTTACCAAATATGTCCAAAATACCAGCCTATAACATATCTCATTTGCACTTGTTTTGATAATTGCTACATATTTTTAATATTTTTTTTTTAATTTGGGTGCAGATCATTCTGACTCACCCTGCATTGACAGGCAAAATGCACCCCTGTTAACCACAATACAGAACATGCACGAATGTACACATAATGTTGTCCCAGTTTAGCGATATTAGCCATTTTCCCCAGCCCCAAAGAGGGGGGGGGGGGGGGGGGGGAAATGTTGTTCCCAGAAAAAAAAGTATTTCCGGTGAAACGTTACAAGCCTTTCATGCTTAGAAGCAATCCTGAGCTATGAAGCCATTACGCCACACACTAATGAAAACATAATTGAGCAAGATCACAAGGGACTGTTTGTACAACATACTTGGCCACGTCGGTCCCAAAGTCCATGAGATACGTCAGGCGTCTCTGGGAGAACTTCATCTTATCATCCATGTCTTTGCTGACTTCGATGCCCTTCTGCAGCAGGTCTAGGATGGCCTGTTCATCGCTGGGGATCTGCTGCATCTCCAGGTCCAGCATCTGCAGGTACAGGGTCACTTTGTCCTGCGACATAATTAAAAGGGCCCATGTAATAGGATTTTTTTTTCAACGCAAACCTTTTAATGCAGCTTTCGTCCCATTTATCTTTATTTTCAATCTTCGCATCGCATATTTTTGTTTGTTGAATGATTGCACATTATTGTCACTGGATAGTTTGTTGCCTTCTTTAATAAACATGTTATTAATACATTTAGCTTTCTTAATTATTTTAATTTAATATTTAAATTATTTTCATTTGTGACCGGCTCCACCAAAAAGGGTATTAAGTCGCACTGAGCGTTATTGTGTAATGGCCTGCTCAACATTGAGAGGGTGAAAATTGCGTCAACATGTGATTTTCATTTTAAATGACTTCTTTAATACCTACAGTTTCAGGCTTCATTCACAGAAATGTTGATTTTGATGAACAAAATGGAAAAAACAACAATTTTGTGGGCATGGTTCTGTTGTTCTACCACAAATCCTGCTTTTTCAAAGCCTGTGTAATTTTAACTCCAAGGGACTAATTAATATGCAAATACGTCATATCTCAAGAACGGGAGGGGCTATGGAGCTCTATTATATCCCAAACGAAAGAGTACATTGTGGGCTTTCCAACCATGAACATAACGCAATTTCACTTTTTTGCCACATAATACTCTTTATTGTGGAGCCGGTCACATTTATCTTAAGTTGTCCATAGTTGCGTGATTACTTTTTTTTCATGTCATGTACTTGTACATTTTGAGCATAATGCTACTTCATACAATTGTTTAATACATTACTGGAAATTAATAAATGAATGTGCTAGTACTGTTGGCACGTAATGTTCTGCTATAGTTCACAGAGATCTTCAATTACATTAGGGCTGTAAAATTGAGCAAGGGCAATAAGAAGCCAAAAGCAAACCCAATGTTTGATACAATCTCAAGATAAGTCTTGTAATTTCATTCATCATCTCACCTTCGCCCACTGGACAGCATCTTGCAAGACTTTTCTGGCATTGTCGATGTCATTCATGACCTGTGGTGAAGACATTAAAACAGCTGTATCAAGCTCCTGCTGAGTTAGTCTTGACTCTATCGCCTAGGCTTTTTTGTCCAGTAACCTTCCTTAATCTGCCAAAATGATATACCGTGCAGTAAACCAAATGGCAAATTCTTTGCACTTTGTACAAAACTGAGACACGAAAGCTCCTGCACAAAGTAATTCCCCTGCATCTTTGCAACACTGAATCCATCAAAGTCTTACAATACCAAGTGATTCATAGTGTTCACAACTCTGACCAAGTTTGCGTGAACACGGGGTTTGAGATGGTGCAAGCACAAGTGTCTTTCCTACAGCATATCATTGGTTGCATCCAACCTACTGGGCTGTGACAGCTATACCACTTGCGCCAATGGGAAGTTGATTCAGTCACTTCCATAGGTACACGTGTCGTTGCCACAGCCACATACTTCATTGCGAGGTAAAAGAATAGCGCCCTCTCTTGTTCAAACACGGATATCATAGCCTTCAGCCACAGCTATAGAATACTGAAGTGCGACGTCATTTTGAACCGGGAAGAGTAGTGCAAACGAATGGGGTACGTGCGCGTGTTGGTTCTCCGGCTGAATCACGCGCTAATGTCTTTCACACACATAATGTGCGCGTGATGTATTCACTTCAGTACTCTATGGACTTTTTTTATGAACAGCAAATGGCATCATTCACAAAAGTTCCAGTGGGAGGGACCAACTACGTAAGCGCCCCATTCCCGCATGTATAATGCAAATTATTAGCGAATGTATAATGCAAATTATTCACGACTTAACCCTTTCCTTACCATGGGCGACTTTTGTCGACCAGGAAACCACACACAGAACACCCTCAACACAGACATATTCACTACTTTTCAGAAAGGCGGCATGTTGATATGTTTGGCCGCCCATACATCAACTATATACCAGCTAAAAGAGTGTTTTCGGATCGTTCTAATGGTGTAGTTTATTCATAGTGTTACCATTACATAAAAATGAGAAAAGTGCTTCAGAAGTCTCCACGCACAATTTGAGGTATGGAGTGCCATTTGGTCATGTGGTGAAATGGCTTGCAGTTTGATAAATGGGACCGGATGGACAAAAAGGCATAACATTCTTATATTTGCACGTATGGACTTCATTTTTACATCACATAAAAGAGTAAGGTTCAAGGAAAAAACTTTACACACAACACCTATGATTTTAATCACTCCTTGGCAGTGAAAATCTGGGTTGAAAAAAGTGAGTTTTCGACTTGTGGTCATTTTTTCACGCTCTAGTGATTTCCACATGACTGAGCAAACAATTTGGTCCTGGGGAGAGCATGGTCAATAAACAATGTGGGCATGAAAGGGTTAATATATTCTGAATGTGCATTACCCCATAGAGTCTTTGCACATGTGTCAGGCTTCAGTGACAATGCGTCCAGGAGAAACCACTCCCCATTTTCTCTTCATAACCGTTAAGGGGGTATTTATTCACGGAGTCCACAGAATATCACTGACCTTTGCATAGTATCTGGAGAGCTTCATGGCAAAGAAGGCCTTGATCTCTGGCTTCTTGCTTGCTCCCATTCGCTTCCTCAAGATGCCGACCACCTCCTCCTTGTTGCCGAGGCGACGCTCCAGACTCAGGCGCTCCAGGGACACCATCAGGAGGTCTGGCACGTTCTCCTCCAGCTTCTGCAGAATTTCTTGAGCTGCTGTCATGTTGCCTGTACAATGACATTCAAGACAAACGATCATTATTCCAAGCTTATTTCTTTTGATTGTTCACTCTATGTAATCTGGATATGTTGGTACAAAACACTTTTATCAATCTGTATACATACATTTCCAGTAGAGCATCTAATTTAACATTTTATTTCTGTACTCAATTACATCAGATTTTTCACGCAGCTCATCGCACTTTTCTGACACTATATTCTCACAAAGCAAAGAATCCATTATCCCTAACAGAACTCAACCCATCAAACCCCCATAGCATGTTTTGTTGGAATCTGTCGGGATGGGTACAGTACCCCTAAACTGACAGTCTTTTACATTGGGTTGGCACACCTCCAGAAACTAAGCCAGAAATGTGTGTGTGCAGTTTCCCATATGGTGTTGGAATTTGCCAGGATGGGTATGGTTCCTAGTAAATCATGCTAGGGAGTTAGGGTTAAGATGCACCTTCAAAGGTTACTTGTAGATTTCGGTGCCGTTACTCATTGAGGGAGTGGGCTCAAAGAATGAGTAATTGTACCTTGCTTCTCCTCAAAAGCTGCCCAGCGAAGGTGAATGCTGGGTTTCTTGGGCAGGTGGATGGAGCAAGCTCTCTTGTAGACTGAGCTCACACCCTCGATGCTGTGTGGCTCCAGGTACTTGGCATACTGCAACGAAAAAAGAACATTGCTCTTTGAACTTCTCTGTAGTATTAAAGGATAAGTAAAGATTTAGTAAGGATTTTTGGTGGCGTTTTGACTCATTGGTCCTCTTATTATCACTGATTGACTCACTGACTGACTGTCATTTGTGTCTGGTTGTTGGCTGGTAAAGAGAGGCGGGAAGTGCTACCGTATCAGATTAAAGGGAATGTACAACATTTGCTCTTGCTGCAATTTACAGTAGTAAATGGATTTGGGGGAGTAGAATGTTATAGCAAATATTGTCAAACTGACTTGTTTCACGTTTTGGGCTTGAAGATGCTGGAAAAACAAAGAACAACATCATGTTCTTGTAGTCTGGTTCCCTGACCCCACTTAAGATGAAACGGAGCAGTTTGTCGACTTTGGGGAATTGTAAGGTCAGAGAATCAGTCCAGCAGGCTTGTACTCCTTCACATGTGTGCAATCAATTGCAAAGAAAATGCAGAAAATCTAATTATGAAAAATTAAGAGCAGTTTTTGAAACAAGCCAGTTTTCTCCAACGCTGGTCGGCCGACCAGCGTTGGAAAAATACCATTTTTCTTGAAAATGTCAGCACACCAGGAGCCACGATTTTACAGGATGCTTTAGAATGTCATTCCCTAACAATCCAGTGAGATATTTCGTGATAATTTGATCATTTCGTTTTTTGATGTATGCAAATGTTGTATCTTCCCTTTAAAACGCAATGGACTAAATCTGGCCCAATATAAATCACTGAATACAATACTGCTCTTTGACCAGCTTTAAGGCCTATTTACACAAACGCGACTTTGTCACAACGATTTTGTTGAGTGGCAATGCCTCAGACCGTGTGTGTCCACAAATACGCGATATGTCTCATGATTTTTTTGGACAGTCTTCTACAACCAATCATTTCAGGCACATGTTCCGGCTGAAATATGTACGCGATATTTTGTGTCGCACAATCAAATCACTTCGAATTTGACTGAAAAATGTCACAAGTTGCACGACTTTGTCAGGGAAATGTTAACACGCTTATTGATTTGGGCGAATTTATAGAAATGCATGACATTGTCACACGACAAAGTCGCGTATAGGTCTTTTCTAGGCTTGCCCTGTCTTTTTTTTAAAGGTCTTTGCAGACATACCCTCATCCAGAACTCCTCATACAGTGCACACGCTACCAGGCAGCGCTCATACAGGATCAGGACCCTCTCATGGGTACCGTTAGCCGTCTCAAAGTCCAGATACTCCCGCCAATTCTTCAGCTGGCTCTTCTCCAGGGGTTTGGCGTGGAAATAGGGTCTTCTGATCTGAAAATTGGAAAAACAAAATGTATGTTACCCACTTGGTATTTCTCATCACATACACAAGTTCTTTTCGTTCAAGAAGATCCCTATGGAATGCAAATTTAACAAAACTGGGCTAAAACATCCATTCCATTCATGTTAGATCTATTTTCTTTTTGAGAATACACTTTTGCATTGTATGAAATGGAAACTGATTTTAATCAGGTTACCGTAACTGATTTTAATCAAGGACAATCTCTGAGGAGAACTGCAGCATCCAAGAAAGGTCAAGATCCCAAATATCATGAAGAAGCCTATGTAAACACTGGGAATATGCCAAAAATAAACTTCATTTTTGGTGCATAACATGCCATATATTTTTGCAAAAAAAGGTAAGGCGCAAGAAAGATCTATAAAAGTATGATTGTATGGATTGCTATTTAACCCTCATAGATGAAGTCAATATTCAGATCAACACATAAAAGCATATAAAACACTGCAGGTCAGTTTCAGGTGAAGGGTATTAAAAGTAACTGTGTCACACAGAGAGTCACTGCACAGAGTGACAAAACAGCACTGTGGAGAGCAGTGAAGCGTGACTGCATCTGCCTGCTTGCCCCGAGGTTGAAATGTGCAAGGATATGAAGTGTTACCCATACCCCACACAAAAGATAACCTCACAGAAATTTGAAGTGTGGGTGCTAACTCTATGGGCAAAAGTGGTTTTTGCAAAACTTGAAGGACTGTGAAGTGCAGAAGACTAGGATGGCAATGAACTTCGTAGTAAAAAAGTTCAGTAAGGCCAAAAAAAAAAAATATTCAGTCTCTGGTCAGACCAAAGTTCCGGAATTGACGCGGCCACGCGGCTTTTTTTTTTTTCTTCAAGCTTGGATTGTACAGACAAGGTGGGTACTATTTTGCTTTTTTGGTGTCCTCATGTACATTGGTGTCCTCCATAATTTGCCTTGGTGCTTTCGATCATTTGCCTTGGTGCAATTTCCCATTCCTTGGTGCTCTTTGGTAAAAAAAACTGAGGAGGTGCGGAAATAGAGGGCGCTGTTGGAGCTACCGCGGAACATTTTGGAAAAAAAAAGATCGACGCGCATGATTAAAATCGACGCGCGCGCTGACCAGAGACCGACTTATTTTTTTTTTTGGCCTAAAACTCAATTTTTTTTTATTTCGATGTGCAAGGAGAAAGACCTCCCGGATATTCCAGTAGCAGAAAGGCTCTGACTCACCCCTTCCTCATAGGCCCATCTCTTGCTGACTTCTTGCTCAGTCTGTCTGTAGACTGCCCCGCGAGACTCCAGAACCTTCTTCCTGATGGCCTCATTCTCCATTTCCACTTGCTGGTGTTTGAACAGAAAAAAACCCAAGAAAATGCATTTCAATGAAATTGGCTTCTGGAGATGTTTAATTCTTACCATTTCTCGTTCATCTTATCCTGCACTATTGTAATTTCAAAAGCATTGTACACTTAGTCACTCCAAAATTTAACAAAAAACCGGCATCTTTAAAATAAACATCTCCCTAAAGCAGCAATTTGGAAGTCATTAGTTGCAATACTATACTACAATTTGAATGTAAAGTCTTGTCTACTTTTGCAATTTTATTTTCTCATGTAATTTTAACGTGAGGGGCCCCTTTGGAAAGTAGTTTTCTTAAACTGAAATGGACTACCCTCGTTAAAGATTACAATAAAATTTAAAAAAAAATCAAACAAATACTGTTGCTTAATCAACTTTGACTGGCGAAATGACCAATGCAAGTTTGTTGGTCAAGCGGTAAGACAACTGCACTCATAAACAGGAGCTTGTGGGTTGAATCCCACCTGTTCAAGCTCACAGAGACTTCTTTTAAAAACTGCTCAGGCAGCACAGTGTATACCAAGTATATAATAAATCAAAGCAATGAAGGCCAAAAATGAAATAGAAAACCACTCAGGGAAAAAAATTATGCAGCCTGACGCCACTTTAGCGGTTGTGTACAAAGTCTATTGAGAGTCAAGAACATTTTCCAAGTATTTCCTAACAAAATTGGAAATGTTTCTCAGTCCCAGATTTATCATCATTTTTGCAATGACTGACCTTTTTTGAGATGATATATGAAGAAAAAAGTGGTGACAGGTTGCAAAAAATTTTCCTCACTCAGTTTTCCTATTAAGGTTTAGAGAAAACTACGACCAATAATAAGTCTGTACCTTAGAACTAGCAGCTTTCTTGGCAGCTGGTGTCTCCAGCCCTGGGGGAGCAATCTCAACCCCTGGGGGTGCGTCGTCATCCCCCGGGGGTGCGTCATCCCCACCCTCATCCCCTTCCTCTATCCCCGGTTCCACCACTCCTAGCACCTCCACCACCTCCATACGCAGTTTGATGAACTCATCAACGGAGAGGCTGTCCTTGGGGTGATGCTTCTTGATGTGCTCCTTGAACCTAGAGAAAGAAATGTCAAACAAATGTAAAAAGTTGATTCTTTTTTACAAACCAGAAGTGTGATGTCATTTCATACATGGGCAATTCTAGCATCGTGTAATATCTGTGACAGAGCTTTCAAGAGCTCAGTGAATACACTTCAATATTTATTTTTCAAATCTTATACATCCATCATCCAGAAATGGTCAAGAAGATTATTGACTAGGAGTTTTGGATCATTTCTCTGAATCATTTATTAGATATCATGGTTAATTGGCTCTGTCACGGACATTGCACTTTCTTCCTTAATGCCAGAAGTAACCACATGTATATTGGAACTGCCAAATTGTATTGGTTGCGATGCACCTTGATGGTTCAGCAAGTTCTTAAGAATGTATATGTGCAGAACATAGAGCCTCCTTGTATAAAGATAAGACCTTGCATCGGTGGCCATGAGGACAACAATGCAGTGGCCATTCTTAGACTCATGTTTAAGTGTGAGATTGAGATGGAGTTCCGACTACTTTCTTTACTGTTTGAGGGCAGCTGAAATCCCAAGTCTGTAGTTGGAGCCAAATAAATAAGTGGTGGCCTACTTCCCTGAGAAGGTACAAAAAGCTGTACCTTCAATTTCTTGTGCAACTTGATTCTTAAGTGCCTTGTTTAAGGTGGCACGTGTACCTGTACTTTTCACAAACTTTGTAACTTTACATCCAAATTTTAGAGTACTTCCACATACTGCAATACGCATTCGAGATTACATTTCATCTACATGTATTCAGAAAGTTAAATCCCTGTAAATATTCCTTTAAGCCTAACCCTCATCAATCCTCCGGGCAGTTTTTGTAGGATTTTGGAGGATTGAGGATGAAAGCAATATACAATTTTAGAGGATTGTGGAGGATTGAGGGCACATGAACATTCAGTCCTGGTTGATTTTGGAGGATTGAGAATGAATGGTGTTTGAAGAGAAGGATTATTGGGGAGGATTGAGGATGAATGCATTTCAAGAGGCAGGACTGTCAAAGGTTTGTGAAGGATTGAGGCAGTGGGTATCCTTCATTTGAACATAAGTGCAACATTTTGGAAGATTTTGGAGGATTGAGGATGGTCCCCAGCAAAAAGGGCCTAGGGGATTAGGGTTAATACATCCAACAATATTGACACGACAGAACACTTTCTACTACTGAAAATGGTATTATCAGCGTCTTTTAGCCTTTAAAATATGCAGCTTTTTTCAAATGCTGTAAAGATGTTTTAAACGACAGGCGCTTACTTTTCAAAGTGGTGACTGTACAGTTGAGTAGGGATAGTCAGGAGTTGGTCGTATACCTTGGTGACTCGCTGCCACTCCTGTTTGTCCTTCTCAAAGTTGATGTACATATCCCAGAGCTTGTCTGAGCGGAAGTCTGTGCCAGCTGCGGCAATAGCCTTGGAATATACACTGGGGGGGGGAAAAGGAGAAGTCTCTTAAAGGGAAAATACAACATTTGCAAACATCAAAAAATAAAACTACTAAATCATTTTGAAATACCTTGCTGGACTGTTAGTGAATGACAGTGTAAAGCATCCTGTAAAATCATGGCACCTGGTATACCGTCATTTTCAAGAAAAGTGGTATTTTTGTATCAATTTCCAACGCTGATCAGCCGACCAGCGTTGGAAAAAACTGGCTTTTTTTCTCTCAAATACTGGCCCCAGTTGACCATCGCACTTGTTTGCAATCGATTACACACCTATGAACGGGTACAAGCCAGCTAGACTGGTTCCCTGACCTTACAATTCCCCAATGTATGTATTACTGCTCTGTTTCTTCTTAAATGGAGTCAGGGAACCAGACTACAGGAAAATGATTGTTTTTCTTGGTTTTTATAGCATTTTCGAACCCAAAACCTCAAAAAAGTCAGTGTAACCATATTTGCTATATATTTCCAACCCCCCAATTCCATCCATTTCTGAAAATTATAGCAAAAGCAAATGATGTATATCCCCTTTAAGTTTCATATGCATCACATTCATGTTGGAAAATTACAAAGTTGTAACTGAGTCATCACTGGTCAATCGCTAGTCATGCAGTCTCAACAGACCTGAGTAATAATGACGTCACGCTTTGTTGACATGTGCTTTCTTATGGAAGCTTGGTGACTCTTGTCAGGTGACCCCACCTGACTCCCATAGGAAAGCGCACATGTAAACAAAGCGTGACATCATTATGATTCAGGCCCATTCAAGTGACAAATTATTGAAATGAACTGTATGACAAAGCCGTTGCTTTGTCATTATTCAATGTTTTATGTGTGATCTGCCTTGTGATATTACTTGTTATTTTACACTAGACAATCGTGAACATTCCTGACTCGAATTTGACCATATTCAAGAACAAGCCATTTTCGATCGTGTTCCCTGAATCTATTTTATAAATTGTAAACTGTTCAATGTGATGGTGCAATACTGGCCAAGTTTGCGCAAGGACTATAGTTGACCAATGGTTAACTAACGTTTGCCCGAACTCTGTCTAGTCGATGGTGGTTGACTACGCTAGTTGACCATTTGGAACCAGCCTACTGGGGTTGGTTGCTTCGCTGGTAACCAATAGCCGCGCGCATTCATAATGCTAGTAGAGAGCCAGGATCCAGAAGTTTTGCCATGACATTTTGACCAGCGTTAGACTAGAGACGTTCGCACGTTGCTATTAGTGCGCAGGCGTAAGGTACGTCACAAATCAACCACTAGTCGACTAATGGTCCTTGCCCGAACTTGGCCACTATTTCATGATTGGAGTGCGTTCCAAGCCTCACTTTCAATTTTTTTTTTTTACTGTGGCTCAACACCTTGAGGTACGTTTATTCACAAATTATAAATTGATATCAGACCAGACTGCTATTGATTTGTAATGACCTATAATTTCATTGCTTTCATTTCTACTTGCAAGTTCCAAAAAATGAAGAGTTTACCTGGCAGTCAATTTAGCACGGCCAACTTGTGAATAAAGTAAATACTGGAAAATGTTATAAGGCCAACAAAAAAAATTAAGTCGGTCTCTGGTCAGCGCGCGTGTAGATTTTAATCATGCGCGTCAATCTTTTTTTCCCCAAAATGTTCTGCGGTAGCTCCAACAGCGCCCTCTATTGCCGCACCTCCTCAGTTTTTTTTTACCAAAGAGCACCAAGGAATGGGAAATTGCACCAAGGCAAATGATCGAGAGCACCAAGGCAAATAATGGAGGACACCAATGTACATGAGGACACCAAAAAAGCAAAATAGTACCCCGCCTTGTCTGTACAATCCAAGCTTGAAGAAAAAAAAAAAAGCCGCGTCCCCGCGTCAATTCCGGAATTTTGGTCTGACCAGAGACCGAATTTTTTTTTTTGGCCTAATCTCCATTTTTTTTTCATCCAAAATGTTACAGATTACAAGGAATATCAAGGACATTTATGTTTCAACTGAACTAAACTTTGCAGATGCAATTGCAATAGCATGGGTGTCTTAATAATAAAATAAAATCTGTCTTCGGGCAGCCAAAATGTGAGAAGTGTGGGGGCCAGAATCCACCCCTTCCCACAGCTGATAAAGTGACACAAAAAAATTGAGTTTTAGGCAAAAAAAAAAAGTCTCCGGTTTCTGGTATGGAGCTTGCCCAAAAAGTGGTGCGGCGACGCGGCTTTTTTTTTTTTTACCTGATTTTTTTTGCTTCAAATGTCGGCTGACTGCAAATGGTGCCCGACTAAACTTAGTGCAAATATATGGGAGTCCAGAGAGGCCACATAAAGCTTATTCTCGACCATAACCCATCTAAAAACACGTTAAAATTGTGCAGCAGCAGGATCCCAGTCAAACCAGTGGGTTTGGCGGTTTTAAGACATCACCTTTCATTGAAAAAAAAAACTTTTTCATTTTGCCGACGCGCATGGCTACGGCGACGCCCGCGCATACCAGAAACCGGAGACTTTTTTTTTTGGCCTTAAGAAGGATGAGACCTGACAATACCTTCGCAGTCTGTCAGTAACCTCCTCCGGCGATGCAGTCTGGCCGACAAACTGGATGTACTGCATCCACAGGTCACTACTCAAAGGAATCGCCTTCATGCCCGTCTCAAACACCTTCACGTCAAGAGGTAGACGAAAAAGAAAAGGAGACAAAATATGATCAGAGCTGGTCCTGGGCAAGTCACTTCCACTTGGTCGAATTTTCTTAAAAAAAAAAAAAAAAATTCCAATTGTCTTCAGTGTTGCTGTTGTGTCAATAGTTAATCTGGGTGTTCCAAAGTATGTAAAAAAATCCGTGAGATTGTCTGTGTGAAATCCCTCCTTCCCTTTTTCCCCAAATGTGTTTCAAATCGTCTGCCGAAACATTTAATGTGAAATGGTCATCAAGGTGTCGTAAGATTTTTGCGTGTGGAATCTGTGAACCAAAGTGGAAGTGATTTTCAAATCTGAAAAACAAAATTTACAGAAATTGCCAGCCGACCACACAGTAATATTATAATATCTCTACGAAGCATGCATGTAAAATTCCACTAAGAAAATAGAAATGGCACAAATCAAAAATTACACACAACAAAAATATTCTCATTGGCATGAATTGTAACAATATCTCATGATACTAGGCCTAGGCAATACTGATCACATTTAAACCTTTGGGTACTATCTCCAGGCACTGACGACACATCATCTGACAGTAGATGGTTTAGGTCGAGTCCCAACGAAGACAGGTTTCTTCGTAAAGATGCTAAAGAATCAACGTCTTTAGCATGACCGGTTGATAGGAATGCCCACCTGCGGGGAGCCAGCCTTAAGAATTAACTGCCTCGTCCGACCAAAATACGACCAAGCTGCCACATGTGGAGAAGGTTTTCGTCACAAAAAAAAAAAAATTTGATTCAGCCTTATTTTGTTTTCTTTTTCTTTAAACCTCTTTGCTTTTCTTACAGAACGAAAAAAAATGCACTCTGTAACAATTTTGAGTTGAAAAATGAAACCAAAAAAAAGTGAGGAACGACAACCAATACCATACAGTTTCTACAAATTCCAAGTTGATTGAAAACAAATACTGTGTAAGCTACCATACGATTCAAAATAAGGTATGCTTAAATTTAAAGTACAATGTATTCCTTTTATCCTAAAACTAACTGCTATGTCTCCGTTGTAAACAGGTATCTATACTTGAAAATCCATCAAAGAATTAAGAAGCGATTAGTAAATTCCTTGCTGGTGTACATGTCCTCTCGGGAACTACTTCCTGTAAGGGAAAAATATTCAGACCAATTGTCTAAGCATAATACTACTACTACTTTCAAACTCGGCGGAACGTCCAGATGCTGAATCAGAACCACACGCTGTGGGAGAAAAGTTATCATGATTTGCTGTCTCCAATGAGAGTTAAGCATTTAATTAATTATTCACACAAATTGAAAGAAGATGGCATTACATGTTAACATATCTATGCACGAATATGTAGTTTACAATTCTTTTTTTTTTAATGCGGAGTACTGATTGGTAATTAGATGAAACTGTTTAAACAGAATAACATTACAAAACTGAATTATCAATGGTAAAGTGGCCAAAATAATGTAGGTTATATGTATTCCTTGCCCACCCTCCCCCCCACCCCCCAAAAAAATTAAAATGGGGAAAAATAGATGTTTTTATGAGCTTATTATTTATACCCTCAACATAACATCTCTCTCAGAAAAGTAGAACAATTGGACCTCGAAAAGTAAAAATAAGTGATAAAAAAAAAAAATTAAAAAAAAATTAAAAAAACGGCTTTTTTTGGTCCAATTGATATTGATTTTATGTTTTTTAAAATGTTGCCAGATGATGCATAACTGTTGGCATGGTATCTGTATCAACATGAGGGAACAAAGACACAAATTAAGCAAAAAAAATGTGGACTTACATATCATTGGATTTTTTTTCAGGAAGTGACATATCTTCTTTTTCCTCAACAAAATAGGTTTGTCACTTCTTGAAAACAGCAATAATATATAAGCATTAAAACATTCTGAAAGCCCAAAATTGAGATGTTGTAAACAATTAAGCGTAAAGAGGAAACGCTTTTTTGTACAAAATCTGGTTTTCATCTAATCAAATTTTTTTTATTTTGAAACATCTCAAACTGCTAAACTTTGGTTGTTGGATGCGTTGAAATACTCAGTAACCCCCACTTTTTTTTAATTATTCACTGGCTAAACTGACTGTCCCTTGTAAGGTAGACTTCTTAAGTCTCATCAGGGTCGTTCAGACGGAGGGCTATCTCTGAAGATAGCCACGGAGCTAGCAAGCTCCACCCAAAATAGTTGTCGTTTGGACACAATTCAACCCCGCCTCTGGAGTTAACTCCGGTGCTAGCCAAGGCCAATTCTAGCCACAAATATTTGTGGGGGCTAGCTCCACTTTCAGCTCAGCAGGGTTTCTTTTTACGACCTAGCTCCACCTTTATTTGTTGTTTGGATGCAACTGACAGAGCTCCACCCTGACGATCTCAGTCACTGTTTAGTTTGTCCGATTCACCATGTAACTCTTGAACATATTTATACGGTGACATTTTAGCTTCACTGAAACACCAGGTCCAGAGTTAACCATCACAAGCGTGAGCACAATTTAGATTTTATCACAAGCTCCACAGAACCCTGGTTGAGTTCACTAATTGGATAAGAGCTAGCCCAAAAGCTGCCCTCTGTCTGAACACACCCATCTGGGCAAAAAAATCGGAAATAGTATTACCCTGCAGGGCAAATGAATGGGCCAGATAGGGCTCATTCATTTGCCCTGCAGGGTAATACTATTTCCGATTTTTTTGCCCAGATGGGTGTGTTCAGACAGAGGGCAACAAGCATGAAAAGGCTTCCAGTGAATAACCATTCGGAATCGATTGAATAGAATTATGTGCACTCTTGGACCAGCTCCACTAGATGTGCATCGTCTTGTTCGTTTAATGTTCAACCATTTAACACATGCTGATGCATATGGGATATCAGCTTTTCCAGCAATTTGGACAAGTCCACTAGTTCAGAAAGGTTCCAAAAAAGTGACTCATTATTTTACTTGAACTGGTAACCAACTGTTCAAAGCATGTAGTCATGACCACCTAATAAAGCAAAGGACTAGGTACATTTTCTTCAACCTACCTCTTGAGCTTTCTCGGTATTTTTGGCTTTCTTGCGTTCCAAGTCGGCGTATTTCTTCCAGTAGCCGTAGCAGTAAGGGTAGCGCGCAAGGAAAGCATCAAAGGCGTCCCTGACCGATGGCATGTGACCCTGGAAAGGATGGAAAGGAAAGCGGTCAAATGATGATGTTTCAAGTATCACAATCAATTTGTTTGGTTTCATTGCTATGTTGCTTGCAATATAGCAAGCAATATTTAACCCTAACCGCCCTGAATCCTCCAAAATCCTTTTTGCAAATTGGAGGAATTTGCAGGATTGAGGTTACATGGCAAAAGTGGGTTGCTGATTTCGGAGTACGCACTGTGTCAAGGTCTTGGGCCGGACCTTGTGTTGTTTATGCTCAGCCGTGCATAAATTTAGTCCTTGATTATACTTGACATCCTACGCACTGCTCCAGGATGTCACTGCCTCTGCCTAAGCCTATTGACAGTCATAGCCGGAGGATTTTGCAGGATTCAGGCAGTGGTCACCCCTCCATGGACCATATTCAAGAAATAACGGAGGAATTTGCAGGATTGAGGCTATATGCTATTTTTCCATGAGGCCAATTGGAGGATTTTGCAGGATTGAGGCTACATCCTAGCAAAAAGGCCTAGGGAGTTAGGGTTTTAATGAATTTTAATGAAGTTCTGCAAGTAGCACTTTCAAAATCTAGGATATGAAAGCCCAATTAATAAGTTTTCTCTTAGTACAAGAATCATTCAAATCACTCAAGTACTTTTCAAGTTATGGAATTTTGAACACAAACACCGATTTAAACTTCTGTCCACTGATCACAAAAAAAGGTATTGTTCTTTCAGCAAAACGAATACAATTCATGTACTTCCCTACGTGAATTGTTTGCAGGTTTGTGTAATATAAGTCTAATAAACCTTTGTTTTCAAATGGTTGGGGATTAGTTAAAGGGAATATACATCATTTGCTTTTGCTGTAATTTTCAGAAATGGATGGAATTGTGGGGGTTGGAAATATATAGCGAATATAGTTACACTGACTTTTTTTAGGTTTTAAGTTCGAAAATGGCATAAAAACCAAGAAAAACAATCATTTTCTTGTAATCTGGTTCCCTGACTCCATATAAGAAGATACAGAGCGGTTTACATACATTGGGGAATTGTAAGGTCAGGGAACCAGTCTAGCTGGCTCGTACCCGTTCATAGGTGTGTAATCGATTGTAAACAAGTGCAATGGTCAATTGGGGCCAGTATTTGAAAAAAGCAAGTTTTTTTCCAATGCTGATCGGCCGATCAGCGTTGGAAATTGATACAAAAATACCACTATTCTTGAAAATGACAGTATACCAGGTGCCATGATTTTACAGGATGCTTTACACTGTCATTCACTAACAGTCCAGCAAGGTTTTTCAAAATGGTTTGGTAGTTTTATTTTTTGATGTTTGCAAATGTTGTATTTTCCCTTTAAGGTACATGTACACTTATCAGAAATTCATGACTGTCTATGATGGGAATACTTCAGGACCAAGGAAAAGACCAAAAGAGGAAATTTAATTTGAGGCAAATTTGGGGTTTGTTGTACCTGTTGTTCCACATACTGAAGCAGATAGGTCCAGCCAGTGAAATCCGTGGGCTTGTCCTTGACGGCCTTCCAGTATTTCTGCAGCTCTGGTGGTGGTCCCTTCTCAACCTCTGGCTTCTTAGTTTCTGAAAAGAAAAGATTCAAAAAAAAAAAAAAAATCCACATGATCTCTTTTTTCCAAACTTGTATATATTTTGTAATTTTCTGAATATACTGGGGAAGTATGAAGTGTGTAACATTATTTTTTATCATTACATGCAAGTAGGAGTTTTTAATGAACCATTTCTGATAGGATATCAATGTGGCACTTTGGCACATATTTCTTGTACGTGAGTGTTTTGCTTCACGTCAAGCAACAAATGCCAAAAGATGTCAAAGTTCAGTTAATGAACTCAGGTTAACATACGTTTTCTGCTCAGGACCGTTTCGCGATAATCAATAAATTTTACCCTAACAGTCCTGAATCCTCTAATTTTGATACGATTTTGCATACCCCCTAGGGAGTTAGGGTTAATAGCCCTTAGAGTTAACGACATCATGTTTTATTCATACATGTACTTGTGCTTTTACGGGACCAAGCGGTAACCACGTTTGTTCATCCCCATCTGGCTCCCAGAATAAAGTAACAAAGTAGGGAATATGTGACATTATTATATAAAAGGGGGTGTTACGACACCATAAGCAGTACAAATATTTGAACTAGTTCGTCCCAGGACTATGAAACAAATATCAGCATATGTTTAGTGTGATTCCAATGGCTCAATGAAAAACTTTGTGAACCCTTTCCCCCAACAAGTTTTGTCTAGGCACCCTGCGAAAGGCAACAAAATGCAACTTGGCTCAAATGAGAACCCTGTTAAATGCAACAAATTGCAACAGTGGATTCTGTTGCATTGTGCAGTGAACCCAGTGCATACCAGCCTCAGCACCGAGCAGTTACCCTGCTAAATGCAACCAAATGCAACAGTGGATTCTGTTGCATTGTGCAGTGAACCCAGTGCATACCAGCCTTGGCACCAATCAGTTACCCTGCTAAATGCAACCAAATGCAACAGTGGATTCTGTTGCATTGTGCAGTGAACCCAGTTCACACCAGCCTTGGCACCAATCAGTTACCCTGCTAAATGCAACCAAATGCAAAAGTAGATTCTGTTGTATCAGCCTTGGACATATGAGAAGTCACCCTGCTACATGCAACAAGATGCAACAAAGCACAGTGACTTGAGTTGCTTAAATACAGCAGTATGCAACAACTTTTTACCTTTGTTGCTTTCTGTTGCATTTGGCATGGTTGGGGTTAATGATAAAGAAGCCTATTCAGATACTCCAGACACCAACCTTCCTTAGCCTTAGCTGCTGGTGCTTTGGTGGCTCCTTTTGCTGGCTTACTCTTCTCTACCACCTTCTCCTGGGGCTTAGCTACGACCTTTGGCTCCTGTTTGGGCTTCTCCTTAGCTGCTGGTACCTCTGCCGGTTTGGCTTTTGGGACGAGGGGCTTGGACGTGGGCTTCTCTGTTGGTTCTTGCTCCATGGGCTCCTCCTGTTTCTGCTCTTGACCAGCCGCAGCTGTCTCCGTCTCCATCTCCATTTCTATCTGGCCTTGCTCTTCGATATTCTCAGTGGCACTGCTTTCCCCTTCATCGTCTATTTCTTCCACAGCGTCTACATCTCCCTCCCCACTCTCCTCTTTGCTCTGAAGAGGTGCCAACATCTCGAGGTCTCCTATCTCCTGGTCTTTCCCGCCAATGTCCTCTGGCGTAATCATAGTAACCTCATCTTCGTCTTCTTCATCTCCGTTGTCTTCGTCACCAGGTTGTTGCGGAGTAGATACTTCCCCCTGCGGTGTGTCCAGTGCCTCCTCCAGCCTCTGGACAAGGGCGGCCTTGTTGCCCTTGGCATCCAGGCCACGATTCATCAGTTCCGTGCGGAGCTCGGCAACTTTCATCTTGGAAGGTGTGAATTCAGCAACAGAGCCTACATGCGTGAATACAATTTGACATTAAATCTATACCCAGAATGTGATGCCAATATCAAAAAAAGAAAGACAAATTTGCTTGGACCTATCAGCGGCTCTTACTCTTAGCCTGGGTCAACTTAGCCCCCGAGCCATTGCAAAATCACGATTTCAAGCAAGCTGGCGGTATCCGCGAAACAGCTAAGAAATTAAGGGAATTCTCGCTAGCAATCCCACATAAAAATAGAATTTTAAGGCAACAAAATTACAGTGACTAGGCGCCGCCTTCGCGGTCATGACTCTGCAAGGTTTGAAACGGCCGTTAAGACTGATTCATTACTCTTTAATTCCAGTTTAAAGTGTAACAATGTAGGAAATTCTGTAAAACTTAGGCCTACATGTGTTGTAAATTTACAATTCCAGTCACTTGGTCAGGCTCCATTTCGAATTGCATTACATGTATGCGACACTCAAAATTCTGTCCTCATGGGCCGCAATGAAACAGAAATCACATCCGGTATGGAATGTGCGCATTTCTACTATGGGAAGTTTTCGGATAGCATTTGCGCACTTTGTCCAACTGCGGCCTTGAACAGCTGCAGCCAGATGCTTTATACATAACCCATAAGTCATTCTCATAGGCCACTTTCTTCACAAGATTCTGTGAAGATCTTCAGAGTATCCCAGCATCCTGTTTGCAGGGCGGGGGGTACGAGCGAAGGCGCCCCAGTGTTTGTTTTCTCTTTTGCGCATGCGCGATTGTGCAGAAAAACAAGAATGACCGCCCGCCTGCCCGAAAATGAAAAGATAGTGGATATTATGCCAGAGGTAATGACGGCAAACTAACGATTACTAAAGGTTTGCCGGCGGCAATCCATATCAACAGAGGGCGCTGTACTCTTTAAAATAGGGCTGAATTATAAGATGTATTAAATTCCCATCAAACGTTGTGTAGCACGTTTGGTGTAATGGATAAGCAAAGGCTCTAGAAAGCGGGATGACTCGCGTTCGATTCCGACCGCACCACATTTTAAAGTTTTTTTTTTCTCATCCCCAAATAAATAAGAATATTCTTCTTTTATTATTTTAACATGTCTCAAACATTTTTTGCAGAGTATTACATTTTCTTTTTCAGATTTGTGGCTCTGGAGGATTTTTTTTAAAAGGGAAATAGGTAAAGTACGAAATTATAAAATGGTCTGACATGTCTGAATCCCATCTTATCTTGTGAATACGAGGTAACAACGATAATTTTGGCATGGAGCCAGACTAAAACTTGTCACCGGAAAAAGTACAAAAAAACAGTAACTGCGCATGTTCAGTGCATATCCGGCAAACTAACGTTTACTAAAGGTTTGCCGTCTCCGGCAAAATATACACTGCCAAATGAAAAAGCTTCACCGTTGAAATCGCACATTTGAAGATACTTTTGAAATACTATGTTACGTTTAAAAATAATCAGAGGTACTCAATGAATGTGTGATTGTGATTATTATTTTTAAACTTAAAACTAAAAATGCTTTTACAACTTGTTGACGGAATGACGCATAGCACGACCCGTTCTGTGAGGGGTAATCCTTACTTTTAGGACACCTCTATTGTGTACGACTACGAGTTCTGTTCAAAACTGACTTTTGCAGATGACTGTTCAGTACCAAAGTGACTTTTGCAGGCTAAAGAAGTCTTTTTTCTTCAGACAAACTCATGTTAGTTATAATTTTGAAAGCACTTTCGAAGAAAATGTGACTTTCCTACCTTTTTTTGCAGTTCGCCATCTTGCTTTTTAATTTTATTTTCTGTTTTTCATCGTCGTCTTTAACCCCTCATAAATTTAAACCCTGCCCTCTTTCTACAAAATTAAACCTGCTGAAGACAAGAGGTGTCATTGCCAAATGTTCAAATGTGTCAATAAATATCAGAATGTCACTTTTGAGTGTCATTTAGTCAGCTGTTTTGGTGAGTCTTTTAACCTTGTATAGGAAAGGGGTCCTAAAAGTAAGGATTACCCTGTGAGGGATACTTTATAAGTTTTAACATACAGTTATTTTTCAATTTAAAATCATTATTATTCAAAATCTACAACAACGTGTGACCACCTTTCTCATCTGTAGGAATACTCGGGTCATAGTCATCACTGATGACAGATGCTTCGGATTTTTGTGGCTCGATTTGGCCATTTTCTGGTGCCTCGATCGTAGAATCCATCACCGTTTCAGCCATCTTGCTTATACTTGTATTATCTTGAGATATTATCATTACACGAGTCTACAAATATTATAATTTATATAAAAAGTTACAACATAATTTTTTTATTTTGGCTTTATAAATATCAACGACCAAACCTACGTCACTTTAAAGGACTTTGTAAAAATATGTTTTTTATTTAAACATATCGTGACAAAGCCTTCTCACGTCGATAACTTAAACGCGTGGTGGCGCTATATTACATAGGAAGTACAATTTTCATGTTTTGTATATTGCAGCTGTGTCACGTGAGTGATCACGACCTGATTGGCCTTAAAAAATAAAAGTCAAGAAAACCGTGAGTAAGTGACATTGACAGCTTGATTTAGAACTAGAAGGCATGGTTGTTGATATAAATCAAGTACACGATTTGTTGAATAATCTGAACTTAATAAAAATAAGAAAAGACACAGCCTGACGTGACCTGGTGACTGCTTCCGGGGTCCCAAGCTTGCGCATCAAGCATGGCAAGCGGAGTTTCAAGTTTCATGAGTTTGTGGTGGAACATCATCATCATGATCATCATGACATGATCATGCGTTTGTGTCATTTTATGGGCGTGATCAGTACTCCTACTAGGAGTACGTGATCAGGTGGTGGGGAACAATGAGGGGAAAAATTGTTGCAACCTGACGTGACGCTAGTCTACTCCTAGAACTATGAGGCTCCGCGTGAGCGGAGCCTCATAGATGTAGAAGCCCGCAAAATTGTCTGCAGCACAAAACACTAATAAAGTACAAAAACGTCCATCAAAATGCAGACATTTCACACAGAACCGCTGCACAGTTTGCCCCTATACTCCGTACTTTACCTCTTGACATACTCACGTATCTTGGGCACAACTAACATAGGTGGATTCTGTCGGTTTTTAGGCCAAAATGATGAAAAATATGCCCTTTCCGCACTGAGCCAACCGAACACTTGAAACGTGCACGCATATGATCGAGCGATGATTTTCGGTTCGCTCGGAGCGCGCCGCGGGGGGTACGGTACAGGCGAAATGATAGTATGTGCATGCGTACATGTCAAGAGGTAAAGTACGGAGTATAGGGGCAAACTGTGCAGCGGTTCTGTGTGAAATGTCTGCATTTTGATGGACGTTTTTGTACTTTATTAGTGTTTTGTGCTGCAGACAATTTTGCGGGCTTCTACATCTATGAGGCTCCGCTCACGCGGAGCCTCATAGTTCTAGGAGTAACGCTAGTCCGAGTAACTTGGACCCAACTTATCGCCTTTTTTAACATTTGGACATGGTCTGGCGATCGCCAGACCATGTCCAAATGTTAAAAAAGGCGATAAGTTGGGTCCAAGTTACTCGGACTAACGTGACGCCACTTTTTTCTTCATATATCATCGCAATGAAGGTCATTCATTGCAAAAATGATGATAAGACATGATCAGAAACTCGGAAACATTTCCAATTTTGTTAGGAATTAGTCCGAGCATGGAGGTCCGAGTAACTTGGACCCAACTTATCGCCTTTTTAACATTCGGACATGGACCTGGCGATAGTAGGCCATGTCCGAATGTTAAGGAAGTTGGGGCCAAGTTCATTGAAGTTACTCGGACTAGTTAAGAATTAGTCCGAGTAACTTGGACCCAACTTATTGCCTTTTTTAACATTTGGACATGGTCTGGCGATAGTAAGGTCCAAGCTAATACCGCGACCTGGACAACACAGTCCCAAAAACCAACATTTTCCAACAAAAAACATCAGATTTCACCTTCAAAACGGCCTCCAAATTACTAGATATGCCACCTGAGGTACAAGTAGACATCGATAATTAAGATGGTTGTACTGAAGTTTACTTACGATCCGGAAAAAAGTGAAATTTTCCGTTCATTTCGGAGAACTCCCCTCGCGATCTTGAACACGTTAAATTTCCGATCGTGTTTAATGTTTGAACGACGCGATTTCTTCTACATGCCCAGCGTACATTCGATGGTCCCCGTATCCCGTGTGCGATTCCGTTACCGAGGTCGCGGTATTAGCTTGGACCTTACTATCGCCAGACCATGTCCAAATGTTAAAAAAGGCGATAAGTTGGGTCCAAGTTACTCGGACTAGTTAAGAATAGAGAGGTGCACAATCGCAGAAATGGTGTCAGGTTGCAACATTTTTTCTCAATGAGGGTTCAAGCGGGCATGATAATCATCTGATGATGATAAGTAGAGGTAGTGGCTTAATCATAAGTAAAAACCATGGACACAGTGGAGGATGAAAAATATATTGTGTATGTCTTGTGTTTTTATTCCTCCAAGCCATGGTCATGTAAAACTTCTTGTACCATGGAAGATTAACTTGAACATGTTCAAACTTATGCTTATGTTACATCTTTATTGGTATTGACAGTAGTTGGTAGTAAGCAGTGTCGATAAGTCGATCATACTGCATGTAGATTATTCAGTATTAGTACACATGTGTTTTGGTAGTCCGAAAATTTGGGACTCTTAAAACTGTGTATACTGAAAACATGCAATACAAGAAAATAGACTGACGTCTGAAACAACCAGCCAACAGCTCATCAGTACTGCATGATCAATCAACAGTCAGTTGACTGTGCCAAAAGAAACATCTAGGTTGTCGGGCACGAGGTCACTATTTCTACACATCAGGCACCAGACTACTGACACTGAATGAGAAAAATCAGTCTTGTCAAACGGTTGGACCATGGATAGACATTTACAAGTCTAGTCTCAAGCCTCATTTTGAAATCACTTGACTAACATCTCTTGTGCAAACCACTACCAAATATTGAAGAAAGGTCACCTTTAAAAATGGAATTGAGTCTTCAAACTTGGTTGGTGGAATACTGAGGACCTTTTCTTTGCCCATTGAAAGTTTTGGAGAAATTTGCTGGCTAAAGAGTGAGTTAAGTTGGCCTGATCTTCTTTTGCATTGTTTTGAGCACGTAAGGTCCCAATCTGGGTTTTTTTTGGTATAGATAGACTGGTACCTTATGTGCGGAAAAAACATGCAAACGAAATCAGGCCAACTCATTCTTTGGCAGACAAAATCCTCCAAAACTTTCATGAGGTAAAGGCAAGGGCCTCGGTATTTCACCAACCATGCCAACCAAGTTGGAAGTCTCAATTCAATGTTCAAAGGAGACTATTCTTCAATATTTCGCACCTGACTTGCCTGAGAGGGAAGTCAAGTGATTTCAATTTTGAGGCCAACGACTAGACCGGTTTACTTCTGGAATTAGAGGGCCCTACTCACGCTACGCGGGGCCTTCTAACTCTAGAAGTAAGACTGGTACATGTACAAGTCCAACCATGGTCCAACTGTTTGAAAAAAACTGCCCTCTTCATTAGTCTGGTGGCTGACTATGGAGAAATGTGTAGAAATAGAGACCAGCAGTAGTACCACAGACATGCCAGATGCTTCTTTTGGCACAGTTGATTGATGCAGTACTGAAGGGATGTTCAGACTTAACGCAGATACTGCTTGGGGGGGGGGGGGGATTGCATTTTCCTGGGAGGGGGATTGCCCCTTTGCTTCCCCATAGTGATTTGCAGATGTGTGACATCCAATCTAGTCATATCACCTTGTATTATAATGTCAAATTATCCCATATTTTCGTAATTACACGTTGTTTCTGTTTTTAATTAACAGTTTCGGCAGGATCGCTGAAGTTGACTTGTCGCCATGGGGATCGGCAACATTCTCATGCTGTTCCAGGTGACGACCTATCTCCTGTGCACCATTTTCTCCTTCTTTGTGTTTGCGCCCATGGCCGTCAACAAAAATGGAGACTTCTTGGGGAACTGCCTGCTGTTTGCGACTGGCAGCATAGGTATGTCACCATCACCTAGACAAGTCTTTGCATTTCAAGTGTTGAAATTGTGCAAATTGATACTTTGGCCAAAAACATAATACTGCTTCCGGTTACCCTACCCACCCTATGTGATAGCCCCTACCCTAATTTTTTAGGTGGAAAAATGAGGGGGGAAAAATTACCAATTACTACCTTTAACCCTTGACTACATGCAGACGCCTCCATATCATTGTACACAAAAAAGAACTTGCCCCCAAAAATACCCTACCTACCTACCCTTTTTTAAAATGCCATGTAGTCGGAAGCAGAAGTATATTTTTTTTGCCCTTTGAAACATGTATGACTGTGGTAAGCATTGGATTTCTTTTACAGTGATAGAATCCCCCCACCTATTTCAAAAAGTTATCAAAAAAACTAGAAAATCCTGCAAGCTGCTCTGTTTCAGTTAAATCTTAAATACATTTACTACAGTTATCGTTTCAATTCAAATTGTCAATATCCATGTTGAACTGAGTAATTGAATAAGATAAACAGCCCAGTATTTTTTTGAATGCCCGCGAAAAAGTAAACAAAAATATCCCTCAAGATTCCTTAGAGATCTGGAAGCAAGTGTAAGCAGTTTCTTTGGCAACTAGACTGTTAAAGGGAAAATACAACATTTGGAAACATCAAAAAATAAAACTACCAAATCATTTTGAAATACCTTACTGGACTGTTAGTGAATGACAGAGTGTAAAGCATCCTGTAAAATCATGGCACCTGGTATTACTGTCATTTTCAAGAAAAGTGGTATTTTTGTATCAATTTCCAACGCTGGTTGGCCGACCAGCGTTGGAAAAAACTGGCTTTTTTTTCAAATACTGGCCCCAATTGACCATCGCACTTGTTTGCAATCGATTACACACCTGTGAACGGGTACAAGCCAGCTAGACTGGTTCCCTGACCTTACAATTCCCCAATGTATGTAAACTGCTCTGTGTCTTCTTATATGGAGTCAGGGAACCAGACTATAGGAAAATGATTGTTTTTCATAGTTTTTATAGCATTTTCGAACCCAAAACCTCGAAAAAGTCAGTGTAACTATATTTGCTATATATTTCCAACCCCCCAATTCCATCCATTTCTGAAATTTACAGCAAAAGCAAATGATGTATATTCCCTTTAACAATACACATCTCCACTTCTCAAAGCCCAGTTTACTTTTCAAGTTCCATGCTAAATAAACTCAAAAAAAGGAGGCCATGGTTATTTTTAGGTGGCAAATAACCACACTAAAGCTCCACCTGTACTAGTAATTTTCTACTCGGCCTATTAAAAAAAAAATCAATTAAAACTTATTATTACATATTTTCATATTGTGTTTCCTAAGATATTTTGAAATTTTACTTTTGTTTATCATTTTCCTCTACATTTGTATATAGTTCAAGAACAAATAGTAATCAGTTCCTGGGGCCCGGCTGGCGGCTGTAATTTTGCCATTGCTGTCGGCGTGTTTGCCATGCTGGTGTCCATTGCCCAGCTCGTCAGGTTGTCCTTTCACGTTTACTACGAGACGGATAGGTGAGTCCAAACCACAATGTTGTTTGAAATTACGTGGAGTGTTGAGGCCTCGTGGTTAAGGGCATTGGATTCGTGGTCTGTGGGTAAAGCTGCAGGTTGTGGGTTCAGGTCCAGCCTGGTGTCATGGTGCGTGTGCCCTTGGGCAAGGCACTTTGTCACTCATTGCTTCTCTCCACCCAGGAGTAAATGGGTACCTGTGAGGGCAGAGATGGTTATTGTGAATGAATTAGCTTCCTTGTGCCTAACAGGCTGCATCCAGCTGTATACTCCCCAGGGAGCTGAGATGGTATTTGGAATGTTTAATTGGCCCATTGCATTGATCAGGGGTAATAATAATGTACAGTGCTTTGATCTTTGTTAAAAAGCACTATATAATAACCTGTTATTGTTATTATTATTATTATTATTGTTAATTACTGGAGAGTGTGGGCACAAATCTGTGGGAAGATTGACATTTTTCTGCACTGCTTTTGCTAGGCGGTTTGCATCTGTGTTTGTATTTTGAAACTGTGTGATGAAGCTGATAGACCATTATCATGTTGCGGGTATCTTCATTTTTCCCATTCAAATCCATGAAAGCAAAGCGAGGCTGGAAGGACAAATAGTCTGGGTCCTTTTTGCACAAAAACCATTATCATTCATTACTGTTATTGGATACAGGGAACATGACTAGAATGGTGGCAGCAAGATAAAGGTCTATAGGCTCCAAGCCGAAAAAAACACAATCAGTTAATGGGTGTACCATCCGGGAGTGTGGCCTAGTTGTTAGGGTTTGTGAGTCATGATCAGCGCGGGTCAGGGGTCCAAATCCAACTTCTGTGTCCTGTGTCCACTTCACCCCCACTTGCCTCTCTCCACCCAGAAGTAGAAACGGATACTGGCATTAGCTGGGGAGTAACCTGCGATGGACTGCCATCCCACCCAGGGGGAATGGAAAATAGTCTTAGTCATCTAATGCCAAGAAAACGGGGGATAAGGCCAAAAAAAATAAGTCTCCGGTTTCTGGTATGGAGCTTGTCCAAAAAGTGGTGCGGCGACGCGGCTTTTTTTTTTTTTTTTACCTGACTTTTTTGCTTCAAATATCGGCTGATGATTGCAAATGGTGCCCGACTAAACTTAGTGCAAATATATGGGAGTCCAGAGAGGCCACATAAAGCTTATTCTCGATCATAACCCCATCTAAAAACACGTTAAAATTGTGCAGTAGCAGGATTCTAGTCAAACCAGTGAGTTTGGCGGTTTTGAGACATCATCTTTCATTGAAAAAAAAACTGTTTCATTTTGCCGACGCGCATGGCTACGGCGACGCACGCGCATACCAGAAACCGGACACTTTTGGGGGGGGGGGGGGCCTAAACGCCGGCCAGATGGGCCATATTGGCTTGTGACATTTTGGTGTTCCATTTTGACCCACATAATCAATGCATTGTTTACTTTTTAAATTAAGGTCCCAACAGAAGATCTGAATCATTACGATTGACAATGTTGACCATTTGCACCAAGTTAACACATTGTATAATCCTGGATGATTTCATAAATCCATAGAATGCTTGTGCAGATCCTGGTGGTTCTGGAAGTTCAACAGTTTTAGCTCGTGAGTCATTAAAGATTTCATTTGCCCATTGTATTCTAGTGGTGTGCATTTATGGGTAGTATGGGTAGTTCTAGTGGTTTGAATCAGAACATTTAATTTCCTTCTTTCGCCAGTTCATTTCTCGGTGCGTTTGTGACACTCATCATCAATGCCGTCATGACAATCATGGTATTTGCCTCAGCGATCAACGTAACGCGAGGTTACAGTGTTTGGTGTCAGCTTATCAACCAAGTATCTGGGTGAGTTTTGAGATTGAAATCTTAAAAAAAGAATCACTGGAAATGAGCCCAATAGGCAAGTGATATACTTTAACCCTCTTTTTGTTTGATCAGTCACAGACAGTCAATCCTGTTCCCCCGCCATGCCTTTTACGCAGGCTAGTTATAACTAATCAGTTTAATGTAGTCCATGGGTGTTTTTCACGGTCAAGGTACAACAAAATAAATTCATGAACACGGGAAATACATACACAGACAAGAGAGATCAAGTTCTGTGAATTAGCTTGCAAAGATCGTCTTTCTCATTGACGTTTTCTTCACATTTTTACGATGTCTATTCCGTCATGCCTGCATGCAAAACACTGTACTGCAGTGCAAACACTGCGCGCGACTATTGCATTGACTGGTTACCGCATTTCCAACAGCCTTCTTTGGCGCATAGTGCGCGGTGCAGCGGGAACCAGTCACTGCTGCACTAGCACGTACGGGCCCACGTGTTTTCATACATCGATGCAGCTCTATACAGCCGCTGTACACGCACGATCTTTGACGGTACATGTATGTACGAGCTCGGTGTTCATTCCTAGCAAATTCCGGCGGAATAAGTGTGAGTTTGGGCATCAATACAAACGAATAATACATGTAACTAAAGACTTCAAATCCTTGGCATTTTTTATCCATTCTTATTTTTAAACTTCCCGTGTTTGATGAGCCCTCTTTTGGATTTTTGAGGAGCGCTATTTTTTGCACTCCTTCGAGGCAGTCGAGGAGCACAGTAGGAGCGCCTGCGCGATCGCGCTCCTTAAAAATGAAGGACTGGGTACAATGTTCTTCTTTCTGGTAGACAGATGTGAGGCGTTCAGACAAAATGAGACGGAACTGGGCACGGGCCTTAACCCTAACTCCCTAGGCCTTTTTGCTAGGATGTAGCCTCAATCCTGCAAAATCTTCCAATTGGCCTCATGGAAAAATAGCTTATAGCCTCAATCCTGCAAATTCCTCCGTTATTTCTTGAATATGGTCCATGGAGGGATGACCACTGCCTGAATCCTGCAAAATCCTCCGGCTATGTCTGTCAATAGGCTGAGGCAGAGGCAGTGACATCCTGGAGCAGTGCGGAGGATGTCAAGTATAATCAAGGACTAAATTTATGCACGGCTGAGCATAAACAACACAAGGTCCGGCCCAAGACCTTGACACAGTGCGTACTCCGAAATCAGCAACGCACTTTTGCCATGTAACCTCAATCCTGCAAATTCCTCCAATTTGCAAAAAGGATTTTGGAGGATTCAGGGCGGTTAGGGTTAATGGAGAAAAATGAATGGGAAAAAAAAAACCGAACCAACGTGAATTTCTTATTGACTTTCAGATTTATTGACATTTGTAATGTTTCAGATGCCTACTACACAATTTTTTTTAAGAAATAATGTTTGAGATGTAATGTTTGACATGTCCACAACACATTTTCTTTTTTAGAAATAATATAAAAATAGTTTTATGGAAAAACAGTTGGCATCCTCCATTTTTTGGAATACAAAAATGGGAAACTTAAAGGCCTTTTAATCAGCCTCTCATTTGACATGTTGAACAATGCAAACTATAAACAGCCATAACTTGTCAATGGAATTTCCGACTGAAGTACAACAAACAGTATTGTAAGGAGAATTTTAGTCTCTTTCCATTGACAAGTTATGGCAAACCCGCGTTTCGACCTCTGCCCAGTTCTGTCTCATTTTGCCAGAACGCCTCACAAATATCGTTGACCACAACAATGATGGTGCGTTGCTTTAAGGCAAAACCGAGACAGCAATAAAACAAAACAAGACAAGTGATCTGCAAATTGCACATGTCTCCTTTTTTTCACAGTCGATTCCACGTTTTGTGTTCTTTAAAAAATACAAATTTTGTGCATTTTTAAACAATGACCTCAAGTGACCCTTGACCTTTGTAATCCGATGAAGAATTGTGTCTTCCCACCCAAGGGTCACTGCGCCCAAGTTTCAGCAAATCCATCAACTTCTGTAGACAGAGAAACCCACGCTACAAGCATATTGAACAATGACCTCTAATGACTCCTACATGACCTTTGTCCTCAGCAATCCGATGAAGAATTGTGTCTTCCCATCCAAGGGTCACTGCATCCAAGGTCCATCAAAATCCATGAAAGCAGGTGTACAAGTTGAACCTTGTACCTACACTTCAACACACATGTACGGTCATATGGAGATACGGAGATGTGTCGATACTGTCGTACAGAATTTAGGACTGGTACATGTATGTGTCCCCAAAACTTTGTTTAGGCGACACAAAAAACCTCATTTGCCCCTTTCTTTTTCTGCAGTTGCTCAGTGGCTGGGATTATTCCGGAGATTTGGACGCTCGTAGTGTACAACTCTGGCCCCAATTTTAAACCCGACAACTACGCTGTGGAGATTGGCATGGTGATGGTAAGGAATAGGCCAGGATTTGGTTATTGTTTGTTTACAGTGAGCCAATATATTGGCAAGCTGATAGATGTATGCTAATTGTGCATTATTTTACTTTAATTCAGGAAATTAAAGGTACAGTCCGTCATTTGTAATTTGTGCATTTCGTTTGTTTGAAGCAAAAAAAGTTCTCAAAATCTAAAGAAGGGTGCTGAACAACTAACCTGATGAAATTTTAGCTCAGCTTCAGCTGTATATTTAAGAGAAAAACAACATTCTGGGATCTGGATTTCAAATTAAAAGTTGCTGAATCATGTTTTGAATTGGGCCTGAATTCAGTGTCTGAGACATGTTCTTACCGAGCCGATTGCAGCTACGCGATGTCGCGCACTGATCCGACCAATTAAAGCACTGCATGCGTGTGGATCGTGTCAATGCTTTCAGATTTTGACTGTTACTAGTTTGGTCATCGTTCACGGGAGCTGAAGTCCAATGTGCCCAAAGCTCAAACAGATATTCGTTCTAAGAGATCTGCCACCAAAGTTCACCCGTTCACAGTCTTAATACCTAGGTCTCGCACTGTATCCCACTCATCATCCTTCATTGTCCGCACATCCAAATTGTGGAACTCTCTACCACAATCGTGCTTCCCACCACCCACAGTCTTTCAGGAGCTTTACCAACAAGCTCGATCTCAAGCTTGATCTCATATCAGTTTCCTAGTTTCACTTCCTGCGTCAAGTGTCTTTTTGGACGGTGCTTTCTGCCTTTTCTTGGTATTATCTACTATAGGTTTTCCCGGCTATTTTTCACTCCAATTCACCAACTCTATCATTCAATTTCGTCCACGAAGAAAATCACAGGCTTTTAACCAAACCAATTTAGTCATATACCATTCATTTTCAAAGTTTGGTCACCCTCTTTAGTCACCGGGTCAAGAATATTCGTCATCGCAGATCAAATTTGTCTAAGCTGTTGCCGAATGGCAGCATTCAGAGATCAAATTCGTCTTCCGATGTTTCTTTTCCTATGGCCAGTTTCAGCACTGTCCTTTTTCTTTGTGGGCTGGGAGAGGGCTTCCTTTGTTGACAAAAACAGACGCTTCTTTGTCTTTACAACTGCAGTTCGGTCTGTGGACGGAGTTGCTGCTGTGGATCGTCATCTGCATCTACTCTGTAGTCAAGCTGGTCAAGTATCACCAGCAGGAGCACATCTTCCGCAGCCTGGGCAGGGAACGGGAGAGACTTATCGGCAGATACACTCAGCCAGACTTCTAAGACAGGTTTGTCTTGTCAGACTGCGCACACATGATATGAGACAGTTCTAAGGATGGGACTTTTGCGTTTAATGTCGTAAACGTTTAGCAAATCTATTAAGCAGCGTTTAAACGTTTAGCCACTTCAGAAAGGCTGCTGCCTGCCCCAGTATATAAATGTTTGCACTTGAGCATGTTAGTATACTTGAATATACATTACCGACCTCCAATCTACAAAAGGTTTGTAATGGACTGTATTTTTAACTTTGGACATAAAATTGGTTGAAAGACATCCTCTATGTTTTTGATGAAATGCATGTATTAGTTGGAGGGCAGATAGAGTGAAATTATGTCACTTCTTATAAAGTGGGTGTTGTTTAAACATTTTGAAAAGAACTTGGAATTTTTATCGTACAACAAACGTTTAAACGTGTAGACGTCACATCTCTAGACAATTCCCTCAGCAGTGTAGCGAATCAATAGCAAGGCAATCACAAGTCAATCACAAGTCAATCACAAGTCAATTACAAGTCAATTACAAGTCAATTACAAGTCAATTACCAGTCAATTACAAGTCAATTACAAGTCAATTACAAGTCAATTACCAGTCAATTACAAGTCAATTACAAGTCAATTACCAGTCAATTACAAGTCAGTCACAAGTCAGTCACAAAACAATCATGTGTCAGTCACAAGTCAACCACAAGCCAGTCACAAGCCAATCACAAGTCAATCACAAGCCAATCACAAGTCAATTACCAGTCAATTACAAGTCAGTCACAAGTCATTCACAAAACAATCATGTGTCAGTCACAAGTCAATCACAAGCCAATCACAAGCCAATCACAAGCCAATCACAAGTCAATCACAAGTCAATCACAAGTCAATCACAAGTCAATCACAAGTCAATCACAAGTCATTCACAAGTCAATTACAAGTCATTCACAAATCAATCATGTGTCAGTCACAAGTCAATCACAAGCTAATCACAAGCCAATCACAAGTCAATTACAAGCCAATCACAAGTCAATTACCAGTCAATTACAAGTCAGTCACAAGTCATTCACAAAACAATCATGTGTCAGTCACAAGTCAATCACAAGCCAATCACAAGCCAATCACAAGTCAATTACAAGTCAATTACAAGTCAGTCACAAGTCATTCACAAAACAATCATGTGTCAGTCACAAGTCAATCACAAGTCAATCACAAGCCAATCACAAGCCAATCACAAGTGAGTCACACGTCACCTGCAGAAAGGCATTCTTTTGTCAGCTATATCTCCTACATATGATATTACTTTTCACTGGACTTTTGAGGGCCTAACATGCAAGTTTAATCATTGAATACAGGATACTAATCACTAATTGATCAGCAATTAATCTCTTACATACATATTTAAACAGACATGTTTCTAATCGCTAGGTTAAATTCTGAGGAGATTCTCAACATACAAATGTCATTTTAAGGTTTTTTGTTATGTTACATTTTTAGGTGGTACATGTAGTACGATAGAGGCTGCAAAATACTGGTACATGTACTGTTGTTTGTCAGAATCATTTCACATAGAGATATTAGCTTCACATTATTTATCTGCAAACTTCTTTTCATGTTGTACTCCCCACTATCCAAAGACTCAAATGGCAAGTTTACAAGATTATATTTCAGTCTGCATCTTGCCAATTTGACATGTAGTACAGCTTTATTTTTGTTAACATTTTCTAGTGAATACATTTGGAATGGTTATTCACAGTTCAGTTTGTGGTTTAGAAAAATGACATTTTATCTTTAATACAGCAATATAGTATCCACAAATTTGTCAGAAGTCATTTGATACATTTGCAGAGTGGAGTTTTGACTTAGAATTTATATTTTCTTTTTCGATATTGCACTTATTTAAGAGTAGTATTTTTGTAGCTTAACTGTACTTAGTCATATGTCTTTATTTTTTGTATTCTGTTTTCACCATTTTCTTGACTTTTCGAAAGATCATGAAATTGTAATTAATGTATCCATCTGCTGGTAGTAGCTGTTGCTGTTCTCAGATATTTTTTTATCACATTTAATGTGCGAGATGCATAGCATCTATTGCCTATGAAATAACTGGTATGTTCATTAAAAACCAAATATGTCAAGAAGAATGTTCTTTTGACAGAGCTAGGGCTGTCTGTTTTCGAATAATTTAGCATTCGATTACTTGAAACTGCCTTTGACCGAATATTCGGATATTCAAAACTGCCACCTGCAACTGCATGCCGCGCCGGTCAAAAGTTGCACGCAGAGCGCGCCGATTATAACTGACATGCTGCGATCGATATGGGCCGCTGGAGTAAGAATTTTATGACTGTCAAGGGGTATAGCATGCTCAAAGGATGGGAAAAATGAAACGTCGTCAACAAAAAATTGACTGTTGTCTAAAAAGTGGCATCTGACAATAAATAACATCACAGTCGTGTGTCTACATGTCATTGTACGACATGTTTTTTGTGTGTTTGTTTATTTTTGTTTTTATTTGATTATGGAATATTCGAATATTCGGTATATTGGGGACAGCCCTAGACAGAGATACTTTCATTTGAGGTAAGACTGTTGTTAATCTTAGTTATAAATGGATTATTGGGCTCGAGGTTGTCAATCAGGGAAACAGGGTGTTGAAACAATTTCACGCAGTGAAAGAAAATGTGTTGTATGTGTACTCTGTCGACTACAAACTTAATTCATGTTAGTGTACTTTACATTTTAGTGAACGATACAACAGGGTTTTTCCCCTTTTTTCCAAAAGAGTTGGAAAGGGCATAAACAAAGTAGGATTTTATTGCAGAAAGTGTACTTTTTAATAAGTCTTGTTCCCTCAATATTTAGATGAGGACAAACTTTTTTATGCTAACACAGTAATTGTAATTTAGGGGGCGAGAGGGTACTTTTTGATCTCATTCAGTATACATTAAAATGTGCCTTGAGTAAGTTTTGCTGTTTTCTAAATTTGAACATTATCCGTAAAGATTTTCTTGAATTTCACTCTTTTTTACATGGATTTGCTAACTTGAGCATGTCATAATACTTCAGGATATCCAATGGTCGATCGGTGACTTTTATACTCTTTTTTTACGGTTTGTTGCCGCTGCCTGTCAGTGGTACATGTACATGTAGTAAGTAGTAAATTCTGAGCGAGGTCAAATGTCCATGAGCTTCCTTGCTGAGCATGGCATTTTTGGTATAACAAAACACGCATCAAAGATGGCTGCTGTACAGGGTGAGTAAACACAAACGAAACCCAAATGTTGGGACCATTGTTTTAGTGAAGTTCTGCATGTAGCACTATCAAAATCTAGGATATGAAAGCCCAATTAATAAGCTTTCTTTTAGTACAAGAATCATTCAAATCACTTGTGTACTTTTCAAGATACAGAATTTTAAGCACAACCACCGTTTTAAAGTTCTGTCCACAGGTCAAAAGAAGGTACGTGTTCTTTCCGCAAAACGGAAACAAATCACATGGGATTAGATGTGTGCGAATTGTTTTCGTTTTGCTGAAAGAACCAGAGTTGTAACGAGTCACTGATTTTTGTGACTCGAGTCGAGTCGAGTCATTTTAAAGAAGTGACTCGAGTCGAGTCGAGTCATTAGGTCAACAAGGTCGAGTCGAGTCGAGTCGAGTCACAGAGTGTGGTCGAGTCGAGTCGAGTCGAGTCAAGTATTTAGCTCGAGTCAATTCGAGTCACAAATATTTGAACACTAAATTACAATAAAAAGCAACAAACACAAGAGAGAAAGAATACAAGGCACCAGTCTATTACGGAAATCCAAAGACATAAAGTGTGCTGTATGGTACCCAACCAACAGTTTCCATTGCTAGCTCACGTCACAGATAAGAAGATGTGAAACTTCGGTCTTATAACTATTTGGGTTCGGGTCTAGATTTTGTTGTTCGCTGATCGCTGACAACGTTAAAACCTAATTGCATTATACAAAACTGTTTCTGATTATTTAAAGGTGGGCCCGTCCGTATCCATTTTTGTGTGTGAAATCGGGACATGAATTTAGCCAGCGTTCCACCAAGAACTTCAAAATCGCCCGAAACCAATGATGAAACCACGGATTGAGAAATGCGTTTTAAGTCTGGTTCCGGGTTTAGCATTACATGCTATAGAACCACAAGGTGGGAGTCCGCGACACGGTGTATGTTTGTTGTTTCATTATGGAGGAAGGAAACAGACTGCCGCTGTACATGTATATAAACGTACATTATTCGCGAACATTAACGTGACGTGAACAAAAACTGGCAACGCGAACGGCGCAGCGTAAGTCATTGCAAATATTTTTCGCAAGTAAGTTTTGCTTTTATTTTGGGACTCGAGTCTTATTAGCCTTCCTCGAGTCGAGTCGAGTCATTCTGATGAGGGACTCGAGTCGAGTCGAGTCATTTGCTCGCAGTGACTCGAGTCGAGTCGAGTCATTTACCCGTCGGGACTCAAGTCGAGTCGAGTCGCCAAAAAATGTGACTCGAGTCGGACTCGAGTCGAGTCATTGACTCGAGTCATTACAACTCTGGAAAGAACGCACACCTTTTTGGTGATCGTAGACAGCACTTAAAAAACGGTGTGTTTAAAATTCCGTTACTAAGTACATAAGTGACTTGAATGATTCTTGCACTAAATGAAAGCTTATGAATTGGGCTTTCATATCCTAGATTTTGAAAGTGCTACATGTAGAACTTCACGAAAACAATAGTCCCGACATTTGGGTTTCGGTTTTTCTTTACTCACCCTGTAGGTTGTTAGAGGGCGCTTATTTTCGGCTGATTACATCAGTTCATGCAGTTTACATATCTTCATGAGCTTAGGTGCGGGTAGCCAAAGTTCACGGTTGACTTTGTTCCTTATTAGGTATTTAAAAAAAAATTGGTGCAGATTTCTTTTGGCTCTTTGGTACTGAAATTATTTCCCTTATGATGACCTTTGTGCATAATATTTGAATGTAATATATAACTGTTGACCTGGTCTTGTAACTCTATGGGATTACCAGAAAGGATGTTGCAACCTGACGCTGCTTTTTCCTTCATATATCATCTCAATGAAGGTCAGTCATTGTAAAAATGATGGTAAGACATGAATCTGGGACTGAAAAACATTTCCAATTTTGTTAGGAAATACTTAATTTTCTTGACTGTCCATAGACTTTGTACACAACCGCTGAAGTAGCGAATTTGTACACAACCGCTGAAGTAGCGTCAGGTTGCAACATTCTTTCAGGATTACCATCTTTGGAATTCGAACAAAATTGTGTACATAGTTATATATTTCTTCTTTTTCTAACTTTAACATTTAAAAAAAAAATATTTAGGGTCTTTTAGACTGTGCAAGCTTAAACATGTTGAGAAGGTGTTTACTTAAAACAAAAATCTGTACAAAGTGTTTATATTATGACAAGCCTAAATTGTAACATAGCCTACAACATTTTGGTTTTGTTATAATTTTCAATAATGGACGGATTTGGGGTTTAGCATTTTTAGCAAATATCGTTCCACTGCGCTGTTTAAAGCTTTGTGTTCAAGGATGCCGGCGAAAGAAAACAAAGAAACAAATACAAGAAAACAAATGTTCTTCTTGTCCGGTTCCCTGACCCAACGCTTCTGATAAAACTAAAAAAATATAGACATCAGGGAATTGTCAGGACAGAGAACCAGACTAGCTAGCTTGCGCCCATTCACAGATTTGTAACCGATTACAAACAAAATGAGGACTAACTAAGTTCAGTCAGTTGGAGTCAGTTTTTCCCCCAACGTTCGTGAGAAACCATTGTTAGATATTGATACGAAAGTCCACTTTTCTTGAAAATGACAGTATTCCAGGTGTAACAATTTCACAGGAAGCTTGAGGCTATTGTGTACTTACAGCCAAGTATAAGGCATTTCATAAATTAGGCAGTTTCGGGTTTTTTGTGTGTGCAAATTTACGTTACCTTGATTTAAATGGCTGAAAGCTGGTAAAGATTATTTGGCGAACTACACTCATCCAAAAAAAACCCAAAGTCCCCCCTTATATACTTTTTTTTCTAACTCAAAAACTACTGGGCACATCTTGCTCAAATTACAACTGATCAGTGCCGAAATTCCTTAGCAATCCCGCCATACTCTTTGTTTGGCCCAAAACATAATGTGATAATGTGTACAAAATTATGCAATTTATGACAAATGGTACCCCCCCCCAAAAAAAAATTTGCACTTTAGTATACGTCCAAAGTGAGTGTGAACCACAACTTGCACGTATGCAAAAGTGCAACTGTTTTCGTCATCATTTGTCATAAATTGCATAAAAATCAAACGGTTGTGTTATACAAATATTGAGTGGCTCAGCGTGGAATGGGAGGAATATTATCGCAAGGTAAAATCTGGACTTTTCCATTTCACGAGGCGAAGCCGAGTGAACTGGAAAAGTCCAGATTTTACCGAGCGATAATATTCCTCCCATTTCACAATTTAAAGCCACTCAATATTTGTTTTATATAACTGACATATAGATCCTTGTCATTTGATACATTTGAACTCTTTTTCATTACGAAACTGGAGGAAAATCCATTTCTCTAGTCCAAACCACCCCTTCACGAAAATGTTTGAACCCAACGCTGTAGCGCTGGCTCTTTGGAACAATACGCGCTACGCGCAACGCAGAACGCGCACACCAGCATGCATTTGCACACAAATACTGCGTCATGATCCTAACTGTTGAATAGTATTTCCCATTCCCCATGGGCGGATAGTACTTTTTGAGCCGCGGCGTGAATGGGAGCAATAACGAATGTCATGTGATGTGAGTTCCACCAATCAAATGACTAGGATCTGTATGTCAGTTATATAAAAACTGTTATATAACCGACATACAGATCCTTGTCATTTGATTGGTGGAGCTCACATCACGTGGCATTCGTTATTGCTCCCATTGATGCCGCGGCTCAAAAAGTACTATCCGCCCATGGGGAATGGGAAATACTATTCAACAGTTAGGATCATGACGCGGTATTTGTGTGCAAATGCATGCTGGTGTGCGCGTTCAGCGTTGCGCGTACCGCGTATTGTTCCAAAGAGCCAGCGCTACAGCGTTGGGTTCAAACATTTTCGTGAAGGGGTGGTTTGGAAGAGACAAATACATTTTCCTCCAGGTTTGTATTGAAATAAAAGTTCAAATATATCAAATGACAAGGATCTATATGTCAGTTATATAAAACAAATATTGAGTGGCTTTAAATTGTGAAATGGGAGGAATATTATCGCTCGGTAAAATCTGGACTTTTCCATTTCACTCGGCTTCGCCTCGTGAAATGGAAAAGTCCAGATTTTACCTTGCGATAATATTCCTCCCATTCCACGCTGAGCCACTCAATATTTGTATATTATTACACAACTTGTGTAAAATATTACACAACTTGTTCATTTTTTTTTTACACAACTGGTTGCTAGGTTCATATAGTACACAACCGAAATAACCATTCGTACACATCATATATTTATTTATTTATTTATTTATTACATTTATTTACCCAGGGTATGCCCAAACAGTTAAAAACTGGTTTCCATTGGGGCCCTGCATACAATAAAAAGGACTACAAACATGTATACAAATACAATACAATACATTTCAATACAACGGGATAAAAGGATTATTTGATTAACGCATAATTGTTAAGCAAATATTATAAATACAATATATTGTAAAACTATCATAACTACATGAACGGTGTGAAACAACGTCGCTAATAGTAATATGCTTAAAAGGAATTATCACTGTTTTGGGCCAAATACAGAGTTTGTCTGGATTACTAAGGAATTTCTGTACTGATTTGTCGTTATTTGAGCGAGAGATGCTCAGTAGTTTTTGAGTTACACAAACAAGTATTGAAAGGGGTGGGGGACTTTCCCGGGTTGAAAATAGTGAGGTATTTGAAAAAGTAGCCCTTCTTCCAAAAATGGTTTCTTCAAAGCTGAATGGAAATTTGCTAGTGTTTGTAAAGGTTTTTCTAAAGTTCATAAATTTTAATCAAACAAGTATTTTTGTTCGTATAAAAATTTTGTTTTTTTCGCAAAAAAAAATGTTGTTTTAAAACATGCAAGCTTTGGATCATAATCATGCACTCTTATGGTTTGTAAAAGAAGGTGGAACAATAGAACATGTCTTTATTACATTAAATACAAATTTGCACAGCAGTACATGTAATAAAACTCTGTATTTTGACTTTGAAATTATATGACCGTGCTATAACTTCCTTTAATGCTCTTTGCTGTATGCGCACACAGGAACACGAGTCTACCTCTCGTTTACAGCATCTCGGCAAGCATGGACGGGTATAACATGTTTGAGTGGGAATAGGTATGATTTTCATACTTTTCACACTTCATTTTTTGTTACATATAAACTTGGGAATTTGTGACTTCTGTTCCTATGGTGCACCTCGTTAGGGAACGCTGCGTCCGATTTTGTGCCCAATTTCGGGACGCCACCTCTGTACTGTATATTCTGGAGTTTATTTCAAGTCACAACGATTCTTCAAAGTTTTCCATTTCCAGATTTTGTATTATTAACATGTAGTACCAGTTTATGGATTTTAAGCTCGCCAATAATGACATTTTGCTACAACGTGTGTGGAAAGTCGGTAAAAAGTCAAAGTGTGTTACATTATTTTAAGAAATCTATACTATCGGTACCTAAGGCCAAAAAAAAAGTATCAGGTTTCTGGTATGGAGCTTGCCCAAAAAAGTGGTGCAGCGACGCGGCTTTTTTTTTTACCTGTTTTCTTTGCTTCAAATGTCGGCTGATGACTGCAAATGGTGCCCGACTAAACTTAGTGCAAATATTATGGGAGACCAGAGAGGCCACATTAAGCTTATTCTCGATCATAACCCCATCTAAAAACATGTTAAAATTGTGCAGCAGCAGGATTCCAGTCAAACCAGTGAGTTTGGCGGTTTTGAGACATCATCTTTCATTGAAAAAAAAAACGTTTTCATTTTGCCGACGCGCATGGCTACGGCGACGCGCGCACATACCAGAAACCGGAGACTTTTTTTTGGTCTGATGCTAGGTTCACACATTCCCGAATTATTGCCACGAATACCCCGATCTATCCCGAATAAAAATTATTGATGGCATCGAGAGAAATTCGCCCCGATTCGCTGTTTGTAAGAATAACTTAAGAATGAACAGAAATAATCAAGAATAGGTACGCATTGGAAGCCGAACCAAGCCGAGTGACTGCGATTCAGTGCAGAGTAAAACCGAATTGTATCGATTTTGTCAAGAATAGCGTGCGAATCACTCAAGAATCATCCAGAATGACCAAAAATTATGCCGACTTAGTGTATTCGTAAGTTATTCTTATAATATTCGTACGTTTCTTGATACATAAGTAATGATTCGGCATGATTCTGGACTGTTAACACCAAAAATAACTCTACGAAATGTGTAAGAATGACGTAAGAATATCCAGAATATACAGTATTAGTTCCGAATACAACAATAATAAACCAAGAATTGAATTTGGTTTTCGAATCACCCCGACAATTTTGAATATGTCCAAAATTGTCGGGGCGCTTCCCGGTTTTTAACGATCTTTCTCCGAGCTAACAGAATCATCCCGAGGCAGCCAAGGACCATCCCCGATTTACCCAAGAATTTCTATTCGCGGCGGTTCGGCTTTAAAGTCGGGAATGTGTGAACCTAGCATTATCTAAATTATAATATATCAAGTCGAACTATTATATCTGCACAGTTGTGAATATCAATTTCAACAGAACATTATTTTAAGGCGAACGGTATCTTAACACTGGTGCATAGTTTGGAATATTTCATTAAAATATGCATCTACATTGAATTACAATTCGTATTCTAATTAA